GTATTTTCCACTAATAGGAAGGTTTGGTTTTCAATTCAGTAAAGCTTTCGTTTGAAATGCAAACAAGAACTGAAATCCCCTTCGATGTCATTTAAATTATTTTATTTGCGTCCTCCATCTGCTTTCAAACCTTCAAAACGGATGATGCAATATAGGTGCTGCTGATGATTTGCGTCGATCCGTTTGAAGGCTTCTAGCTAATGCCACGTGATTTTATATTTTTAGTTCACCACTACGACAAGCATTGGCTATTACGATATAACAACTAGTCAATGATACAAGTTTACAAAAATATTTTTACTAGCACACAAAAATACACGAACGTACTTTTAATACGTTTAAGTTCTAAATTGTTTCCCATCTTATAGAGTAAACCATTATTGTCTTGTTTTATTGAAATAATTAATTAATATCTTATATTGTAACATTTCACAGTGTGACTTAATTGTTCTATATTGTTGGACCTACTTATTTATCAATATTAATCTACTTCACTACTTATTGTTTTTACCTACAACGTTTTGTAACATGTACAGCATAAGAATTATATAAATCCGCTACAAAAAGTAGTAGGTAAAAATGGGGTTTTGTTTGTTTATTGTTTAACATGTCTTGGTTGAAAAGTAAGTATAAGAATAAAAAAATACTTTTCTACTTCTAAACTTTAACATTGCGAATTTATGCTACATCCTTATTGCGTAAAAAACTACAACTGTACAAGCTGTCTTCTTTTCTTCATTCGATGTTTAGCCTCGCTAAAGTAAGTGTATAATTTTGTACCAAGGTTGAAATGCCTCAATACAAAGAAATTGATATTTTTCAAATAAAGTACGATTTATGAAACCACATCAAATGATACTTAGCAGATAATGATTTTCACTTTGTTTAAGAATTAAAAGTTATAACATAATAGGAAATCAAAAGTGTAAAAAAATTATTGTATAAAAATAATTATATAGCTAGTTTATTTTGATTTTATTTTTATAATTAGTAATATGTAACTACTCCAAATAAATATTCCAAAATAAATTAATAAGTGTAAATATTCTATTTTATGAGAAGTGTTAATTATATCACAAATAAAAGAGTAGACGATCAATAATACGTAGTTAAAAAAACATCTCAAACTTTTGAATCTGTTAAAAACAAAACTGGAATTTTAAAATCTAATATTCTAATGTTTTAACTACCGGGTTTAAAATATTCCGAGGCCACACAAGAAAATAACTCAACACAATGTTCGGTAGGGTACACAGGGTAGTCGAGGTAGTTTCGCCATTCTCCGGTAGACAGCGCGCAATGTCACAAATCTTTCTTCTCCATTGTTGTAACCTTGTAAAATACTAAAATAGTAAACTATTGTTTATAAATCGGAAATTATAAACCAGTATACAATTACTAATCTTGATTAAATTATTAAACCATTCTAGGTTTTATTTGACATTGTAATTTTAATCTGCAGGTCAATCAATAATCATTTTATTTAGTTTAACTAGTTCTTGAAATTATATGAAAATTAAATCAAACCTTACTCAATGTATATGAGTCAGGTTTATGTCAGCAGTAAACACCATAAACACCATAAAGATTAGAAGAGTCTTTAGCTCATCTGAAAAATAATAAATTCAACTGTTTGACAAATCTAAAAAAGGTGAGAAAATTTGAGTATATTGAATCCACAACATCTGATAGTTTTAGATTAACAACATATGATATAACGCCACCAATTTAAAGAGATTCTGTAAAAAAGTATTTTGTTTGGTATACACCAAAATTTTAACCAGGAAAAACTGGAAGAGGTTCACCTCAACTCTCATAAATAGATTACTAAACGAAAAACCAGTAATTAAATAATGAAATACTTTGTATAAGGTTCATCTAATTACTATTGGAAAAAAACCTTGGATAACTTGGCCAGATGTCTACTTTAGTATGTCAAAAACAATGAGTATAAACTAATCCGTAGATATTTATTACGAATTCAATTTTAGTACATAATTGCTTTGACATTTTGATTCAGTGACAACACAAAAGTAGTTTAAGCACAATACCATTGGTTTAAACAATCTTTGATTACTGTATGCAAGGGTGTAATTGTAATAAGTATACTAAGCATAGTAAAAACGATCCTTATGAAACATTATTCTTACCAACTAAACACAATATAAAAAAATAAATCATTTGATGGAGATTAAACTAAGACAACAGTGACAGCATACTGGCAATCAGTCAATAAATTTAAGTGTCAGACAAAATTTTTATATACTTGTAATAATACGGTAGCAAATCAAGATGTTTATCCAATGCTATCAAAAACCTGTGTTGTGTTTAGTGTTCAAAACATTATCCTCTTCTGAAAATTTTCAATAATTTGAATTTAAAGATTTGTATGTAGTATTAGCCCCCTCCCTAAATAGCTTTATACAAGCAGCTATGCATCACCTCTATTTAAGTAGGTAAAACCACAAAAATTTAAGCTAATCAATTAAAACTCTCAGCGAAAAATATACAAAAATCAATTGTAACCAATCAATTGTAAATCAAACGTTTGATTCTTGGTGTGTCATGCTCCTACTTGTATTTTTTCGGACAAGACGAAATTACGAGAGATTTTGTTAAAACATTATTATTTACGAACGTAATGACGGAAAGACATTGTTACCAATGCTACATAAGGCATTGTTGCAGGCATTCCCCATCATAAACACAATGTAGTTGAATATGCTTTTTTAGCTACGTCAGACTTTTTCAGTTGTATATAAGAATATCCTATTTTATGGAAATGTCTAATCTGTATATATGTAAACAAGATGGGAATCTGAATCCCCGGCCGTCTACCTTTTAAGTTTCCTTCGACGAAGTATTACCACAGAAATTACTTTATTTTTAACTTAATAATTAATAATAATTAATAATTAATAGCTTAATAATTAAGTGATGACTTACACAATACTCAACACGCATGTTTCACTTTGACTGCATTTTGTGGCCCTAAGATCCAATTTATTTATGTGACAACAGGATTTTCACAAACAAAAATTATATGATTTTTTAGCAACTCCAGGTATAAATGAATTGTTCACTACTCAAACGTCCTAATTGCAAAGCTCGCAGAAGCGTCCAATAAAAACAAAGAGGAAGAGCGAGAAAGACACGATGGTGTTCGTGCCAGGACTGAGAGGGTAGTAGTGCCATTCCTCTATTCTATTATAGACTGTATCGTATCTCACAGTTATAGGAAGCTCGACCAATACCAACCTCCGCCCCCTCAACCCCTCCCTAATCCGGTCCGCCATTTTATTCCTCTCCGTTAAGCTTTGTCAAAATCTTTTTCAGTAATATTTAGCGAGTGCGAAAGGTTGGTAACGCCGTATCCGCGTGTTCATGTGGTGAGATTGGCACAAGTGGGGTGGTCACATGTGCAGGGATTGGTGGCGTGTTTGAATTGTTCAATTCTCGGATCTTCGAGCAGACAAGTGGTGCAGCATTTTTTGTTTTGTGTCAGTGTTGTTCTTGGTGTCAAGGAGTGTTGATCCTGGTCGCAGTCTTTTGTGATTTCTAAGACTTTTAATTGTCGGAGACAGCAGTTTTATTGGATCTCTTCCATAAGCATGTTTTACTGTCCTAATTTGGTGTTGAAAATGTGACCGTTAGTTGTATGTCGCAATACAACAAATAAAATATCATATAGGTGTTTAGTTATAACAGGAGGTGTTACACAGGAGTGTTAAGTAGCAATCATTTAAGGATTGTAGGGAGCTTATTACAAGAGCTAGGGTTAAACAATTTTGTTTTCAAGATTATGTTTTTTTTTTATCAAAGTAAAACACGATCAATCGTAATATGCATGCAAATTTTGTAGAATGGCCTTAGTTTTGTACCAGATTTCATCAATAACACCATCTTCTAATTTCCCCTTTTTACATTCGCTCAACACTGCTTAACCCTCGTTTTCAAAGACACACATATATCATCGATTCACTGGTTTGGTAAGGAAGGTTATACCAGGTCAGCCAATGTTATGATTGACACTCCAATTTCAGAGTTGCCAGGTTGATATACATATCAAGCCGACCCAATCCGAAGCCAGCGCTCCCACAGTTGGCATGCAACTAACCTCCCCAATATCTCCCAGTTTTCCTCGCGACTATCTATCGTTGTGTTCCTCGTACAGGGATGCTCGTCCACCACAACACTTGGATTAATGATGAAACGTGACAAGAAGGTTATTGAGTATCTCATTAAGGTGAGTTTTCTCTATTTTGCATCCTACAAGTAGTGGGTCACTAGTTGTTCTTGTTCTTCTAAGTTGATTTTCAAACTCTAAAGGATGATATATGTTCAATACTCAATCAAACATCTCGATGTATTTCAGCCATGCTTGAATGAGGTATGAGGTAGGATGGTTGTTTGTAGCTTTGTTCTTGTCAAAGACCAACTGGATTTCTATCTAGGATCATTATTGAAAAGTTAAATCGTTGATGATAGCTGGGCTTAGACTAGAACTAACAAACTTCTGACGTATGTCATGATCAAAGTGGCTATAAGTTAATCTGACTCTATGTGAGAACTACCCTCTCAAGCACCCTGCGAATTGACTGTACCGTTTGAGTAGAGTGTGTGCAAAAATCACATTCACAGTTTGAAACCCTTTAAAATCTTTATCCAGAAAAAAAGTTGAATCTATAAAACGCGAGAACCTCGAAATTCTCTGCATCTCTGAGTTCACCTAACGCAATGATCAAGCAACGCACGCGGAAATTGTTGATCCTCGGTAGAACGGTAGGGAAAACCGGACACTTGCAATAATGTGGAAGAAGAAAAAGGAAGTAGAAAAACCGGATCTGGCGAACAATCTGATCCCGGCTCTTCTCAACAATGACTTTGTCACCAAGAACAAGCTTCAGGCTGGGATACCGTCACTGGGGGCGGCGGGGAAGAGGGATTCCCAGGGTCCCGGATGGAAGGGTTTGCTCAGTTCTGCCGTTAAAAATTTCCAGAAAGGGAAGATACCTCTGCTGCTTGCTGTCGAGGCGGGGAACCAGTCTATGTGCAGAGAACTGCTGAGTCAGCAAACAGCTGATCAGTTGAAGGCGACCACAGACAACGGCGACACCGCGCTTCATCTGGCTGCCAGGAGGAGGGATGTGGACATGGTGCGCATCCTGGTGGACTACGGGGCCAATGTGGACTCGCAAAATGTGAGTAGACACTGTAGTTTGTTTTATGGTGTTAATACTTGCTTGGGGTAATAATTGAAATAGTGCGAAGTTATAGGCTGCATGATGGACCCTGTCTTACCATCTCCCTGATAAGAGGTCCCCATGTAGACTCATGTAGGTCCCCTATGACTACTCGCCAATGGTTAGAGGCCTACGCTAGCCCTAGGTAGACGTTTACGAGACAGGTTCCATCATACATGGTATAGTTTTAGTACCGAATCGATGCCATTCTCAGGTTTTACTACAAGACTATTCGTCTAATGTAGTCGTATTTGGGTAGAGACCGTCGTCACAAAAATTACGTATAGTCCAAGCATATGAGGAAAAAAGATAATGTCCTCAGGAAAAAAATCCCGAATTTTTTATCTCAGTGGCTTCTTATGTATTTTTTGGCGCTGAATCCGATTTTAAACTTCCAAATCCGAACACACAAACACAGACAAAGAGCATCATAACACACAGTTACTGATTACATTAAAAGTAGCGATTTATGAATACTCAAATAGATTAATCTCCAAGAACATTAATCTACTTGAGTAATCAGAACCCCCTTAAGAATTCGACAACGTTACTAGCTATCTTGAATGATTATCATTATCAGGTATTTGTTTTCTTCGTTTTCTCACAATCCGCAGGCTATGAAACCAATATTAACTGTATTTGCCATAAATTTAAAAGATATTTAGGTTACCTCTTTCATCTCTAGAAATTAACCCTAGCCAGTCTTTTTCTTATAGGGGACGTAGCTACTTATAAAGATGAATAAATATTGTGGAAATTATAATTTCACTGTCATTTTAGTGATTATTCCTACACCATTAGGGAATCATGCAAAAGATTGTGTGGTGAAACTACTGTAGTTAAGTGCTAACTACACTTTATAATACTACTATTACCACTTAGCCTAATATTAATAACATGTAGGGGTATTTAATTTCCTGAAATCACCAAGAATGCTCGCTTTTAATATAAGTTTTAAACTGTTGAAAATGTCGTTTGGTATAGTGTTTACTACAAATGAGAAAATAATTTGCACGGGAAAGTTTTTATAATATTGACTTTTCTTACAAAGGTAAATCTCTTAAACAATGTAAAGTTCAATTGTTAATAACTGGTGTCGAGATTTTCAGCAGAACTCCCAACCGGAAAAGTAAACTTATTGTTATCTGTCACGAAAAGCACGCCTTGCGCTGAAAATTATTACTCCTAAAAGAAAACAACGACCCGTCAAAAAGACGATCGTTTGTGGCAAGCAAGATGGGTGACAGCCGCGTCTTTGTTTCTAACCTCAAACTTTTTAACAGTAAAATTGTTTGCTGTGATTACTCCTAACAAAGCCTGTGCAATCCATTATTATGGTAATAGTTGTTTTGGTCTTAAATTCTTAAAGTAATTTGGCCTGTCCGAATGTAACTTTTTCAATATTCCAAAAACTTATACATTTTGAACATGTTCAAAGATAATAATTCTCAACATACGATCATGAAAAAAATACCAATGTGCCTTAAATTACCGATATTTTTGTCTTAATAATTATTAAGACTTTAAAATATTTGTATGTATATACAGCATTCATTTGAAAACAAATCAATATTTTTGTAACGAAAAAAGGTAATAGAGTTCTAATCCAAGATAATTTCCCTAATTGGCAACATTGTTGGCAAAATCTTACTTGCAAGCTTCCTATAGCTTATGTATTGTGCTAAACCATGATGGTCATTATAAAGGCGTCTCAGTATTGATGTAGGTCTAAATAAAATATAGGAAATTTGGTGAGATTCGAATTTTTTAGGGAACAAAAAAGATTATGATTTTTTAAACTGTATGTTTTGATATCATCGGTGGATGCATTTGTTATCCTAAAAATATATTAGTTGAGTGTTTGAGGTTGTTCTAGCATTGAACTATTGTGTCTTCATTCGGTCTCTTGTAGAGTCAATTTTAAACCAGTTAATAGGCTGTATATTTTGTCAATTAATTTACCTATCTTTGATTTTTCACAATCTTCTACAAGCCATTTTTTAAATAAATATCCCCGAAAACGTATATTAGGATATGAAAAACGCAGAGGATACGCGTCCGGTAACCGGACGTGGATTAGGCGTCCGGCAGTTACTGTCATAACCTAACCTAACCAACCAAACTTGCTGATAGTGAAAAAAATCAAATGAAGGTTCAATTCTCTTCATAACATAAAATTATAAATGCCAAAAATTCTAACAAAAGATGTACAGTTAAGAAGAAATTACATTCAAAGCAAAATCTGTGACAAAAAGTTAAAGTTACCGAAGGGTTTCGAACCGGGGATCTCTCGCATATCAGTCGAGCACTCTATCCACTACACCACGAACACTGATGACTGAACATCGTATCATTGTGGTAATGGCGTTCCGGGACCCCCTACCGGACGCCTAATCCACGTCTGGTTACCGGACGCCTAATCCACGTCTGGTTACCGGACGCGTATCCTCTGTGTATGAAAAAAATGTTTACAAAAATAACTGCACTATTAAACTAGTAAAGTTTAGTTGTGTTAAAAATTATTTGGTTGTATTAAAATTGGACTAATGCTTTAGCATAATAATAAAAGCATCGATTTCAATCAAGCATCAATGACTAGCAGGCTTACAAAAAATGTTGCAAGCTTGTAATATACATAAAGATGATCTATTATATCTTAACGAAAGTAAATATAACAACAATACATAATCGTTGAGGAAGAATTAGAATCAGGATTGCCAAACTATGAACTTTTACCTTCCACAACATTGGTTTCTTATGATATTCATTATTGATTTCTTTTTTGTTATAATATTTTTTGATCCTTTGGGATGGTACCATTATTGTATGTTGTTTGTTGTACAGTCGGAAGGGCAGACAGCTCTACACATTGCCTCTGCCGAAGGTGATGAAACTCTAGTCAAGTATTTCTACGGGGTCCGTGCCAGTGCTTCCATTATTGATAATCAAGGTAGGCACCAGTGCTTCCATTATTGATAATCAAGGTATATACCATGAGAAACATCGCATGAATGTAATTAGCGGATTAGTTCATGGAGTAAATATGCTTTATTTCGTTCATTGTTTGAAGTTCATGGTTGGTGATGGTGAGTTAATGTTCATGCTTGTAAACATGTTTTCTAATAAATCGTCAAAAGGGACTCAACGTTGCGTGCTAAATATGTGTATGTGATTAAAGAGGGTAGAATGGAATGGGATGATGGTTGTATCGTGTTTCAAAACTTTACTGAGACTTGCCATAAAATATTTCGTGCTAATGCTGTAAGTAATGAGTCTTACAATAATTATTTCCAGCTCAGGGGCATAACAATGAATTTTGTACATTCTCTAAGACCTCAGTAATGCGTGTGGAAGATATAGGGCAAAGCAAAAGGGGTGAGCCGGTACAGTACAAGAGTCAAGGAACTGATAAAATTTAGTGTAGTCATAAACTTTTCTCACTGACTCGTCAACTTTGAACTTATATATCAATGAAGTTCTGATGAAATAATGAAGAACTTTCGTTTCTTCTTCCCGCAGATCGGACCCCAATGCACCTTGCGGCAGAGAACGGCCATGCTTCCATCATAGAGCTGCTGGCAGACAAGTTCAAGGCTTCCATCTTCGAGCGGACCAAGGATGGCAGCACGCTCATGCATATAGCCTCTCTCAACGGCCATGCTGACTGTGCCATGATGCTGTTCAAAAAGGGTGTCTACCTTCATATGCCTAACAAGGTGATTAAATTGACTTTGTATATTACCTTTTCTTGATATATTTTATGTCTTACCTTCACCTCCTTCCTGTCTTAGATTGAAACTGTTTAAGGCTAGGCCTAGAGGATCAGACATTATTTCAGACAGGTAAAAATCAAAGGTAATTGGAAGGATTTGAACCCGGGACCTTAAAGATCGGGTTAGATAACAATTTTTATTATTTGTTTAAAATAGCCAAAACAATTTATAAAACAAGAAAAGGAGACTAAACACACCTAGTTAGTCATACAAATAAACTAAATGTAGTTCAGAACAAATTTAAACAAGTTTATACTAAGTTGAGGAATCAGAAACTGTGTTTGCGTATCTGACATTGATACTTTGTACCAAGAATCTTACACTTAAAAAAATATTCGTAAAATTTCGTAATTTTAGACTTTCTCTTAAACCAGTCTACAAAGATTCACAATTAATCCAAGAAAATTGAGTTTATATTAATTCTTTATATTTTGTTCATAATAAATCAAACAGACAGACGAGCCAAGCCATTTCTCTGGCAAGATGCCAGCAAACTAGATCAATATGAATATCTTTTACCGGTTTTTCGGACATGAATCAAACTTTGCTCTAAAACTATTTAATCCAGGTGGCAGTGGCTTTCACAGAATAGTAAAACTTCCGTGTTACAAACTTAAGGAACACTTTTTTAATAAGGAGACGCTCGATTGACAGGTTGTTAAGCTTTTCTTGTACCTACATTGTTTAACATATATGATAATTGTTAAATTACCAACCGTATTACCGATGGTAATTATTATGTGGTTGGATATTGTTATGGATCTAGTAATGGGGTTTACGAGTGCTGATCTTTGACTGCATAAAAGTGATTAGGATTCAAACGTTTAACAACAGTGATGTTTTATAATAACATAGGATATAACTGTCTAAGAGGTTAAAGTGCGAATTTACAGTTGAATTCCAGTTGTATGTTTATATTTAAACTATTTTATTATATGTATTGTAGAACGGTGCTCGCAGCATACACACAGCAGCAAGGTACGGCCATGTTGGAATCATCAACACACTTCTACAAAAGGGGGAGAAAGTTGACGTCACTACTTCGGTGAGTTCCGTATTGTGATTATTTGTACCATTGATTATGTATATTCAATTTAGTATAGTAAATTCAATGGTCGTAAATACTTTTATGATTTCATATGGTTTTTTTTTTTTCAAAATACCGGTAGTTGGTTTGTAGATTTGATTAGTCTATTATTCGTAAAATATTAGTTATTTTCCTCCACGTATGATGGTACATATAATTAAGCGTCGCGTCTATCATTACTAACCCATAAAATATTAATTGTGTTTACAATTGGCGTAAACTTAGTATTTGTGTTAGTTTTTTGTAACTATGTTAAGTTTGTTTGATTCAAAATCATAAAAAAAATTTCCAGATTGGTTATTTAAAAATAATGTATACATAGGTTTCTACTTAAGTTTAGTTATTATATTATTTTGGCTCCTACTTTAAATAACTATAGATTTTTTAAAATTAATTACCATGTAAATGTTTTATTATGAGCTTAGAACAGAGTTGTAAAAAACTGCCTGAATACCAACACTGATATTCAAGATTTTATTATCACTCTTATAAATTAAATAATACTGGTTGATGGCCTATTTATAACTTTTTTCGGTCTTCCCAAAAACATTTAAGTCTCTATACATTATAATCTGTACCCGAAAAGTGTTGTATGTTAACTTGTTTTTTTGATGCAGTAAGTATTTACAACATTTAGTTTTCAACAATTAGTTTTATTTATTGTAGAGTTATATTTATGGGTTTTAGCAGATTTTATACAGTTAGGATAATCTATTTGTATGTTTTTAGGATCCTTTGCACCAGGATGTAAGTTTTTACTTTAAATGGTTATATTTTACCACTTACACAATTTGTGACATCACACAATTCACACTTCTCACATTTTGACCAATCAACATATGAAACACACACAATGCTATAAATGTTTTTACTCTAAAAATGTATGTATTTTTGTCAGTTTTCTCACAAAACGTCAGACTTGTCTATCTCTTCTATTTCTGTCCGCTATTTTCAAACTTTTAGTTACATTACTATTATAAAACAAAGATTTTGGATAGGATAAGTTATTTACTACAGTTAGCATAGTGAAATTAAAATTTTTCTTTAAACCTTTTGCATAGTATTAAAATTCATTGTAGTAGTCCCCGAACTGTAATAATGACTATTATTGGTTTTATATTACCTGTAGTCAGTTCCAAATTGTAAGTTTCGTCAATTTTATATGTTTCGTTGAGCTGCCTTTTTCAAGCATACAGTCGAGGAATGTAAATAAAAAAAAACCTTGTATAGCTTAGTTGTTGGTTTACGCTCATGACACTTACATGACTTCAGAACGAGAAGCTATACAAGGGGATTTTTTAATGTACATTCCTCGACTGTATGCTTGAAAATGGAAGCTTGTCAAACATATTGCATTGAAGAAAGTTACAATTTGGAACTGACAACAGGTAATATAAAACCAATATTAGTCTTTTGCATAGCTGAATTTATATTTGTTATTCAAACTATTATTCTGGTAATTATTTTACAATTTACTAAAAACAAGTAAAATTCTTTTAAATTATTTTATTTCCATTAGACTTTTTAAAGAAAATATATTATAAAATCATCCATCCATATTTTTAGTTATATTCACATTCACTTTTGCCTCCTCGTTCAACAACTTAATGATAACTATCTACTATAGGCTGCATACAATATGGAGTAGCCTATGTCACAAAACATGTACAATAACCATCAATAACTAACTATCAATGTACTCGTATGTAAACGAATTAATATAAAAAATTTCAATTTTGTTTTATATTTTGTTGAGGTTTGTTAATGAGGTGTCTGCTATTGCTTACCACAACTAATGAGTTTGCTAAATAAATAATCATTAATACTTTAACGTTCAGAAGGGAATGATTTTGAGAAATGCCAAACTTAAAATTAATCATAACTAAAAAACATAAAAAAAAAATTTAAGGAAAGTCCTAAATATATTGGAATTAAATTCATGCATTCCCTCCCCAGCAGTATTAAAAACGAAAGTAGTGTAAATAAATTCAAAAATAAACTTAAAAAAAAAACTCAAAAATTTTGAACATTGTAACAAAAAAACTGTATGACTAAGCAATTAGGGAAGCAGGTGAAATCATGTGAAGTAGTTTTAGGTTGATGATACATTCATGTACACTTGTTTTGTATGTATTGAATAAAGATTTATTGATTGATTGATTGATTGAATTGAAAGGATTTAGGTAAAAAATGCACAAATTTACAATTTAAATATTAAGTTATTAAATGTATATAATATTTAAAAAAAATAATCAATAAAATAGGTTACAAATTAAAACCTTTTTATGTTCTGAAAATGTTACTTTCTGTAGATTTAACAGATAGGCTAGCAGATTTATGATAAAAAATGAATATGGAAAAAATCCTAAATAAAACATAGGTAAACATTTTTTATTTCATTTACATAGACTCAAACATGGCATGTCCCCTTCAAAACCTGAAGTCAGAGGTGGATGAACTTTTTTCATTCAAGATTATTTTACAGGACAATTACACCCCTTTGCACATTGCTGTGGAGTCTTGCAAACCCGCAGTTGTGGAGACCTTGCTGGGTTATGGGGCTGATGTTCATATAAGAGGTAAGACCCCTATGCAGTATATAAGTATGTGGTAACTGTTCCCCAAGGGACCTGGTTTAATAAAAAGAAGAGAACAGTGTAACTTAAATAGTGTTTTTTATCCTAAAGATTTTTTTTATTTGTTAATTAGTAAAGGGTAAGGGATAAGGTTATCCATGTAAATAATACATAAATGGTATGACAAGGTTTGTCTGTGAATGTAAATAAATGTAATTTTTAGGAGACATTTTCTTTGTTCTGGGTTTCTGTATTTTTGTGTGTGTTTACTTTGAAAAAGATCTAAATTTATCTCTCATTCCTCCTTAGGACCAGTTAGCCTGGAATTTTGGTTTTATATAATAATGGTTTTTACCCTATAAGAACAGATACTTTTGCAAGAGCGACCCAATTACTATATAACAAGTTGTTATTAATATTTAATTAATAAATATTCAATTACTGAAACTCAGCATAACCGTAAGTCTAAATATGAATGTTTTCCCTGTTCCTCCTTAACATTTCTCATAAGCATTACCTTTTAAACCAGCTCTTTTTGAACATCGGTGTTTCAATAAATGTCCTGGGCTATAGAAACAGCTGGTCTTTACTCCATTCTACACTCATCCATCACTCACATTGGGGACTTTAGGGTTGTATTCAGTAGTATTTTGCTCATATTTTGCTCAGTTGTTTACTTATATATCATATATTGGTACATAATTTACTATAATAATATTCTCGTCCAGGTGGCAAAAACAAGGAGACCCCGTTACACATAGCCTCAAGAGTGAAAGACGGAGAGAAGTGTGGGTTGATGCTGCTCAAGTCAGGAGCTGGACCTAACCTAGCCACAGAAGACGGACAGACTCCCGTACATGTAGCAGCAAGCAACGGAAACCTGGCCACTCTGCTTCTACTGCTGGAGGATGGCGGAGACCCTATGTTTAAATCCAAGGTACATCTTCAGAGCTTTTCTGAACTAGAGAATTACTAGTTAAAAAAAATGTTTACTATTGGTCTCAGGTATATTTGAAGCAACAAATACATTTTCATTATTTATTTAATGGAAGACTGATACTTTTACTTTTGTTCATATTCTGTCCAAGAGTGTCAACCATTTTATAATACTGGATTCTGGAGTTAATCCTGCCAAAGTCCATAACTACCTGTTTTACCCCTCATGAAACTCTGCATGTGTTCAATAAAAGTCTCTTGTAGTGCAAGGTTTTTAACTTAAAAACAAACAAGATTTTATTGAATCAATCACACTTTGACTTACACTTTCTAAAGTGACACACATTCTTAACAGAACCTAAGTTTCTAAATTGACCCTAAATAGTTTTGGTTCTGTGTAGAAGCTGGGTACGAAGGAAATCTCAAATTTGCTAGTTCATTGATTGAAAAAACTGGAAATCAATTGTTCAGCAACTAGCTAAGAACGTGTGCTTTTTGGTTAATTCACTAAGAGAAGTAGTAGTGCAATGTCAACAAAATTCTCTCCATCAATCGTTACTAATAATCACAGAAGAAGTGAGCAGTGAGCCACTAGAATCATTGTATAGTTAATTTTGTTTTTATGAATTTAAATTCCTTTATAAAATCGGCCTGGTTGGCCTGGGAGCAAGAGGTTAAATAACCTTATTTTATAAAATAAGGTTATTGGACCTCTTGTATATTATTTGATATGTAATCCGGAAGGATACACACAAAATGAAGAGGTTTTAGGTTTGTTGGGGGCGCAAGAACGAGAAAAATTCCCCTGCAAAGGATGGGGGAAAGGGGTGCAAGTATATCTTGGTATATCTTGGACGTAACAGAACTAGAGGTCCAAAAAGGAATAAATGAAATAAGCTCAAAAGCAAAGGGAAACGATGGTATAAATATTTTCATGATTAAATCAATGAGTAAGTACTGTCTTTCAGCAATTACTCATTTGATAAACCAGTCACTAGCTACAGGATACTTCCCAGATGCCTGGAAAGAAAGTATTGTGAGCCCACTGCCTAAAACTAAGCATCCGACGAATGTTAAAGATCTAAGACCTATATCAGTACTGCCAACATTATCAAAGGTTCTAGAGAAAATTGTAGTCAAACAGATTTCAGAATTTATCGAAAAAGAAAGCATTTTACCAAAACAACAATCAGGTTTCAGGAAACAATACAGCACTTGCACTTCGCTTCTAAATTTGTATAGTGATCTCTTAGAAACAAAAGATAATAGTAAATGTAGCTCTTTGATCATGTTGGATTACTCTCAAGCGTTTGATTCATTATCTCATACATTGTTGTTAGCCAAACTACACTATTTCGGATTTAATGACACAGCATTAAAATGGGTCGAATCTTACCTCAAAAACAGAACTCAGGTAATAAAAATCATCGGTAAAATCATCCCCCCTGTCAAAAGAAAGAGGAATTCCCCAAGGAACATGCTTAGGTCCAATATTCTACAATATATACACTGCTGACATCACAAAAATTGTAAAAACGTGCAATTTACATTTGTATGCTGATGATTGCCAGATACACCTGTCCTATGTTACGCTAAAGCCTTTGATATAATTAATAATGAGCTGAATGCTATATCTGTCTGGTCAAAGAGCCATGGATTGAAACTGAACAACGATAAATGTTCAGTTGTCCATATTGCACCCCAACATGAATTAAACAAAATTAGGCAAGACATGGTCAGTAAAGTTAAAATAAATGGGACAGCCATCAATATGCGAGAAACTAAAAACGCTAGGAGTAATTCTTGACGAAGACCTGACGCTAACAGACCATGTAAACCTCATGTGTCAGCGAGCCCTTGGCCGGCTGCGGAGTCTATATAGATTGAAAGGAATTTTACCTGAGAACGCCAAAATAAAACTAGTAAGGGCCTTGGTATTGTCAGTTTTTGATTATTGTCTTCCAGCATACGGAAATAGCATTACAAAAGGCGACCTAAATAAAATCCAACGACTACAAAATGCATCACTTAGATTTATTTATAATTGCACGAGAAGAGATCACATAACTCCTTACAGAAACGCTGCAAACATTATGCAAGTTAAAGATAATTGAATATACCTAACCTGCAGCCTGATACGTAAAGCTATAGAGCACGGCTGGCCTGAGTACCTGTGTGAGAAACTTCTCTCTCGCCGAGATGTCTCTGTCCGCAGCACGAGACAGGACAAGTTGTTGCACTTTCCTAGAGTCAGACATGAAGTGGGGAGGCGTGCCTTCTCATACTTCGGCCCTACCATGTATAATGAATGCTCTCCCTGATCAAGTAATAAGGGCCAACTCTTTGAACACTTTTAAAAAAAGGTTAAAGGAATATTTGTTTGCTAAAAGTAGTTGTCTAAAGTAAATGTATGTTTTTATTGTTAATTGGTCTAGTCCTAGTATTGCAGATTCAGGTTATTTTAAGTAATGTTTCTTATGGATTTGTTATTATTTTAAGATTGTTAAATAGATTGTTGGTATGGATTGTTTTGCATTGTTTTCATAGATTCTTTATACAGGGTGGTAAAAAAGTCCCTGGACAGTTAAATATTTAAAAAAATAATGCAGATAGAGCTACAATACTTGGTACAACGTTACAGGGCATAAAACTCTATTTTAACACATATTCAGTGATCCAATAACTCTTCAGGGGGACGGCCCACAAGGAGTCGGAAGAAAATCTTAAATGGAAGCATAGGTCAATATGCACATCAAATTAAAGGTCTTTTTTAGTAGAATACAATGCCGCAAACCGCACTTCAAAAGGTTGATCCTGCGCAAAATGACAGTTGTTCAAAGATTTCTTGAATCCGCCATTTTGAATCTTTGAACGACTGCCATTTTTTACTCAGGCATTCTTTTGAGCTTGAATTTACGGCATTGTAATCTACTAGTAAAGACCTTTAATTTGATGTTCATATCGACCTATGCTTACGTCAACAATTTTCTTCCGATTCCTAGGGCTGTGCCCCCTGAGGAGTAAGCGTATAATAACAATGTAAATTAAATGAATCTTTGAACAACTGTCATTTTGCGCAGGATCAACCTTTTGAAGTGTGGTTTGCGGCATTGTATTCTACTAAAAAAGACCTTTAATTTGATGTGCATATTGACCTATGCTTCCATTTAAGATTTTCTTCCGACTCCTTGTGGGCCGTCCCCCTGAAGAGTTATTGGATCACTGAATATGTGTTAAAATAGAGTTTTATGCCCTGTAACGTTGTACCAAGTATTGTAGCTCTATCTGCATTATTCTTTAAAATATTTAACTGTCCAGAGACTTTTTTACCACCCTGTATATTGTTTTATAGTTAGTTTTAGTTGATAGTTGATTAGTATTAAGGACAAGAGTTGTTTTGAAAAGCAGAAATATTGTATCTGAAAAACGCTTGCTAAATAAAGACATTATTATTATTATAATGTTGATGTTGTTTATTGATTGTTCCGTTGTTTAGTGATTGATTTATTGATTGATGATGATTATTATTATTATTATCTTGAGCCCATAACGTGTCACAAACTGCGGGCATGTTTAAAAACTTGTTAAGATTTTGATTTCATTTGAAAAATTTTCATACATTTGCTTACCAAGAAATGGAGAGTAAATTCTTGTTAATAAGTAATATTATTCCTTTTTTGCATAATTTTTTTATTTGTTTTTAACGACAAATACTATGGTTTTAGAAGGGAGAGACGCCTCTACATCTAGCATGTGCCAACTGTCACGCTGACATAGCCAAGCATCTCCTAGACTTTGTGAAAGCCAATAACAGTACAGAGGTATCGACTGGGTTTGCAAACACCGTAAATGAAGATGGCGCATCAGCGCTACACTACGCGGGACAGGTATTCATCCAAGTCAATCATACTATCATACATAGTATGGATATATAGGGTATCTTTGTAAATATTTCCACAGAGCAGTAAGGTACAATGGAAACATTCAATGGTACACTTAAGTGGTGTCTAGCACTAGTCGCTGGTGTCTAGGGCAAAGTCCAACACCAACCCCCTTGCCATCATGTACTAGTATAGAGCTCTTGGTGGAGTAAGACATTGTGCTCTGTGCGATAGGGATTTCTACACAGTGCTCGCTGTTTGGGGTCTTCCTAGCTCGTCCCAAGTAAGTATATATCTGGCACAATATACCAGAGTTGAAAGTGTGTTGTCGTCCCATAAGCGTGTTTCCTCTGTACTTTATTTCTCTGTGATAGTTTAAATTTAAGGTCTCTGCAGCTGTATATCAGAACTCTAATGTAACCAAACAAAAGTATGTAAAACAAAGTAGTTGGGACATTAATATCAATGGTGCCCACACTGCCCATAACTTTATTTTACTAATTGGCCATTGATTTCACTAAAGTATTTAACTTTACTACTACTGTACACTTTGTTATAATAAAATATTAAATCAACGTTTTAATTTGAACTCTTTGTTAGAGAGAATACAATATAGAGCTCAAGAACTGTGAAGAAAAATCTACTGATATTTTTAAGCTAAGTAGAAACAAAATCAGGTTTTTTTTTAATTCAAACAAGTTAATATTTTGACACTTCTCAATGTGAGAATTCAACCGTTGTTGATATGTGTTGTTGTCATATGTCTTTGTTTTACAAGGTGACGAAGGCTGAAATTGCTCACAGAGAGAATCCACTGGAAGATAAGGAAGTTGTGAGATTGTTACTGGAAGCTGGAGGAGATGTTAACATTCAAACACATAAGGTAAATAATAGCATGCTTGCTTCAAAATGGTATTATAACGTTTGATTGGATTTCTGAAAAATATCGAGAGTTCTCACGGTAATCTACAGAACACATTCAGGGAATAGCTTTGGCAAAAAAGTGGTGCCATCCTCTTGAAAGCTCTGTTGCGGATTTTAAGGATGTCAAAAGAACATTATTCAAAATATTGTAGATGTTTGTAAATCCAAGGACATACTATAAGTTTGTTTCATCTTTTTGACAGTCTTCAGGGAAAGATGAGAAATTTGAATATGCAGTTACCATAGTCTGAGGATGGCGATACTTTAGTTCAAAAACTGGTTAATAGCTACAATCTGAATACTATACGTAGGTTTGCATAATTTTAAATATTTTCTTATCCTAGTTATATTGCTTTCATTATTCTATTATGATTAAAAGGATACAACATCAATTTGAATGTATACCATTTTTAAGCTCAAAAGCCTACCGTCAATTAAAGCAGTCAGAATGAGTTAGCTTCCCATCTGTGAAGAATACAAGATGTTGACATAAAGTTACAATTTATTTTTCCAAAACGAACTATTCATTAGTACTCTCTGTGCGATGTTTATTGCTTGATCAGTTTCTCTGTTTCCCAATCCTAAGTGAAAAACTGTAGTGTTATCTAACTCATAGACATTACTCATAAAATTTTTCACCTTACCTATGAATTAAACATTACATTTCTCTTATAGATTTTCGTCATCACTATAAGGATCAGGATAATAACATAGTATGATTCTGTCCTGTATCATACCAATGAATACAAACCTTATAAGATGTTTATTCATTGATTAGATAGAGTGTATATTTAAGTTTACCGTTTGTTTTTGTTATTTCCTTTTGTTATTTTATTTATTTTGTTTATTTTGTTTTATTTTGTTATGTTATTTACTTTAAACCCACTTCAAGCATTGAAACAATCCATTTTTCAAATATTGTGAAAATGATACTGTATACGGTACTTTATTTTATTTGCATAATAGCACCAATACACATAACCCTAATGAAGCCCACATGATCCAGATGATGGAGTCAGCCTTCCACTACATCGCAGTGACTGGCAACAACGACACCCTGCTGGAGATGCTGGCCCACATGAGCTCTACGGAGGCTCAGAAGGCATTGAACCGACAGAATGTGATGGGCTGGACTCCCCTGTTGATAGCATGTCATCACGGACACACAGATATGGTTAATACTCTGCTGGCCAATCATGCGAGAGTGGACGTGTTCGATATTGAGGGGAGGTCTGCGCTGCATCTTGCTGCAGAACAGGGCTACCAACAGGTATAGATTTCCAGTTTCAAGCTTAAAAAGGATTTTGATTTAAGAGGTGGACAGTCTCCTGAACCATGTATTTTCTTATTCTCGTAAATCACAATCTTTATTTGAATGCAACAGTACAAGACTGAACTCTACTGATAAATTTAATTGGTGGTAGGAGCGGAAGCCTTGGAAAAAGTATTTTTGTAACAAGATCATGATTGTCGCAGGTCTGTGACGCTTTACTGACCAACAAAGCTTTCATCAACAGCAAGTCCAGAGTTGGAAGAACAGCTCTACACTTGGCAGCCATGAAGGGATTTGCAAACCTCTGCAAGTATGTATTTGATGCTTTAAAACTAAAATACTAGAAACATAATCATTGATAAGCTCGTAACTTGACCAAAACAACTTGTAAGCATTTCATACACATCTGCAAAAGATAGTGTGAGATTTGTAACTACATAATCTCTCACTATCTGATTTTTCATATTCAATATTCATTTATTTCTGAAACTATTCAATATGTGAACTGTATATTCGTTTGGTATTGGTGCAGTTTCATTTAAAATTTTTGAAAATATCCATATGTGAAGTTTCATGTTGATAAGCGCTTTTTCCTTAGATAAAAAAAAATCAAATATTTGTATTCATTTAATGAGGGTGAAGGTGTTGCTCTATGCCCCTTTGTAGCCCTCAGAGTACTGTTAAAATGATGAAATATTGAAGAGAATTTTCATCCTAAAAAGTGAGGTTTCATAGGACCCTCTATTACAATGTGGTGATAACGCTCATTAAAAAAAATTAACTGAATTATTCTCCGATTCCGTGAAATATTTATGATATCTAATACAATATCCAGGTTCCTGATCCAAGACCACAACGCCATGATAGATGTGTTGACACTCCGCAAGCAGACCCCTCTACACCTTGCAGCTGCGGCTGGTCAGCTGGAAGTCTGTCGCCTGCTGCTGGAGCTTGGTGCCTCCATAGACGCTACAGACGACCAGGGACAGAAGCCTATACATGTGGCTGCACAGAACAACTTTCCTGAGGTCGCCCAACTATTCCTTCAACAGCATCCTAGCTTGGTGATGGCCAGCACTAAGGCAAGAACAAAAAATGTAGTTTATGGTAGCTACCAAAGTTTACTTTTGGGTTTAAAAATGATCCATGATCCATGGGTTTCACAGTACAGTACTTCAATGATTGGAAGTTCTGTGCTTACAGTTTAGTTCCTTATTGCATATTAAAATATTTTGGTTCAACAGGTTCCAGAAATAGTTTCAGTGTTACTTCAAATCCACTTGTATTGAGAACCCTGGGCAACAATTTAGTTTCTTGTTCCATATGAAGATCTCTTTTTTAAGTTCAAGAACGTTAACTGAACTAGTACCGTAGTTGTAAAGGTTCTTAGCTAGAGGCAAAAACTCTAGAAACGATTCAAATTCCACTTTATCAGCGTTAAAAATATTGCATACCTTATTTTACTCACTCTGTATTGTGTAGGATCAAGCTGTTGAAGTATTTTTTTCATAGTAAGTTAATAATGTGTTCCGTTCCTGCAGAATGTTGAGATTTATTTCATCTTCAAAAACAAAATTTTCTGTTGGAGGAAAAAGGATGATGAAAATATAAATTAGTTTGTAGTCATTCACCAAAATTGATTGCATTGTCTATCTATTTTATTGTGTTAATTTTTTTGTTGTATCTATTTTATATTAATATTTTAGAAAAAGGCCAGCAAAAATTGGAGGAGAGTACTTTAACATAGTTAATTAGTTAAAAGCAATTGGGAATCAATACACTAATGCATTAACACTGAGTAACTTTTTAAAGTGACTTCTCATCTTGCATCACTTCACTGTATCTAACAAACCTAACTGTCACAATGGCCCTCAGGATGGCAACACATGTGCCCACATAGCAGCCATGCAGGGTTCAGTTCGTGTGATCGAGGAGCTGATGAAGTTTGACCGCACAGGTGTCATATCTGCCCGCAACCGAGTCACAGAGGCGACTCCGCTACAACTGGCAGCTGAGGGCGGACACGCTGATGTGGTCAAAGTGTTGGTGCGAGCTGGAGCTTCCTGTACTGACGAGAATAAGGTAGGTGTTGATCTTGTAATCTATATTTTGATTTTATACATAGTTGGTTGATGCAGCTTACTAGGCCTGGATTTTATCTTACCAATCTTATATTCTGCAGGCCGGATTCACCGCAGTCCATCTTGCAGCACAGAACGGCCACGGCCAAGTTTTAGAAGTTATGAAGTCTTCCCAATCTCTACGTGTTTCTAGTAAAAAGCTCGGAGTCACGGCTCTTCATGTGGCAGCTTACTTTGGCCAAGCAGGTACCTACTTCATCATATTTAACTATATAAGTGAAATAACAATAGTAACTGTGAATTCAGTAATAAAGTAGTTATAAAATATCATTGTAGAGTATTCTGCAATAACCTCCAGAAATTCTGTGCAGTAAACTAACCATTGAATTTAAATTTAAGATTGAAAACAACAAAGGAAATTTCCTCCTGAAATTTTATAAAAATCTATAAGTAATAGTTTTAAAACTTCTTTCAAATGTAATTATTTTTCATATATTTATAAAATCGATATCATTCATCTTTAATTGAATATTTATTTGTTTATCACTGACAGCATCATTGGCCAGGAACTGTTATTAACAGTTTTTTTGTGTGAAATACTTAAGGTACAATGTAAATATTTCTCTCTTTTTGTCTCTATATTTATGTACCTATCAAAGTTTATAAGTCACACCAATAATGGTCATAAAGTATAGGTAAACAATATAATCAATTTTTTTTTAATTATTACTTTTTAGACCTAACCATTAATGTAATGGTCTTACTATAGGAAAAGTACCTAAGACCTTATCAAATTGCTGACTGATTTCCAAAAATATTTGTAATTATTTTTCAGCTTTCCAGACAGGTATATAGTAAGACATTTGTGATACCTTTTTTATCTTTTTACTTTCTTTCTGTAATTCACACAGTAATGTGTAACATTCTTTGGCTCGTATTTTGATAAACCTTATTAATAAATCTGGCATGCATGCAAGTAACTTTTGTAACAGTATCTAATCACATTAAAAGATGTATTGCATCAAACTCTCAACTTGCTGGTTTGATATAAAATGAGGTAGAAAATTATAATTAATCCAATATTTCCAAACTTGTAAAGTAGTTCTAATGTCCTTACAAACTAACCGCCAATTTATTTAGCATACCAATTTTATGTGTATGTAGTTTATAAATTATACTTCATGTTAGATAACATTTTGTAGTTTCGATTTTTGTATTTTATCAAATGTCAAAACAATTAAAAGCAATTATAGTGTTTTTATCTTCATGCTCATTCATCCATTTTCTCTCTGTTTTATTTTCATACTTCACTTAAATATCATCTTAATTTTTGTCTATGTTTAACTGCATTGTAATATAATATTATTGATCCCTTTCACATTTATTTTGATGAAACGTCATTTCACAAACAGTAATCAACATGTCTTCTAGTTAAACTTTACTATCTCCTGCACGAATTTCAGTAATTTAACGTAACCTCTTCTTTTATTTGTTTCTTCTTTCCATTTTTCCAAAATCCATTTTTTAAATATTTAATATAAGTATACATAAATCAAAATTTTCACCCACAATTTGCATCTTGTTTCCTGCATTATTGCATTCCATTTTCATTCTTTGTTTAGTTTGGTTGCATTTTTCTTTATCACGCATACACATCAAAATGCCATTACAGAGTATTTTCATAGATAAAACATACTCCCTTAGTAGATTTCTCATCCTTATGGAACAGCTGAAGACAATTTTATTGTTAGTTCTGTACGGTTTATGTAGAGGTCGTGTTTTGTTTACAATTTGTTTCCCGTTATTACAGCCATTTAAAACCTCGTTTAGCCAAATAATACGATCTAATCATAAGCAATAACTTTTCCACTAGTTATATAACCAAACAGTAAAGCATAAATCAAGAAATTAACCCTAAAATAATAGAAACAAAGTTTCGTCGACACTAGCGCCTTTGTGTCACGTACATGAACTAGACACGAAAAACGTGCTTCAAAATTTACAATGGAATGAGAAGTCTACTTGTGTTGGTTAGTCTATTGTATTTTCAATAGTAGATGGGGAGTGGTTGAAATCCCACCCATCAGAAATTACTAATTAAGCTATATGCCATAACTCGGTAATTCAAAGAGACTGATAATTATAGGTCTATAGACAAAAACCCTGAAAAGAAAAGGTACTTCGCAAATGGGGTGAAAACACTGTTCTATCCTCGAAGTAAACTTTGAGGCGCTTTTTTTATTAGTTTATGAATGAAACTGTGTTGGTAAATATATATAAAATACCTACAAACAACCCTAGTTAAAAACTTCTGAACCTACGTTGGTTTTTACCACGTCTGTAGTTTTACTATGAGAGTTGCTCTTAGGGGAAGAAATAAAAGTCATAAAAATAAGCACAAATAAAATCATACCTCACTTTTCTTTAAAAGTCTTATTCAAAGAAACATGGCTAAAACCAAAATTTTAAAAGTATATCATTTATATGTGAATGGTAGGCTATTAAACTGACTTGCTTTTAATGTAAGGGATGGTATTTATTCTTTCTTATTATAAGAAAATCGAAAATTTCAAATCGACAAGAATAATATCAGAACACTATATCCTACAAACAGTAAATATTATTATGTTAAAATTCATTGTTGTATTTTTATTTACTACATTAATAAGTGAACCATAATAATTTTGCATACTCGGTAGAGCTCTTTTAGTAAACCATCTCAATATGGTTAACCACCGTAATATCTGTTATAGACCACTCAAGCCATCTAGTACATTAGATAAATCAAATACAATAATTTTAACCACAAATACCTTCTATAAAACTAACATTGATATAACCACAACAATGCTATTGAGGTGGTGCCTCATTTGTCTTCTTTACTAACCAAATAGTTTAACACCTAAGCAGTTTTCTACCAGGCTTACAGCTTCAAATGTTTCAGACAGTAATTTGTTTCATGGTTGCCCCTATAGACACTGTTCGAGAGCTTCTAGCGAGTGTTCCGGCCACAGTCAAGTCAGATCCGCCAACCGGAGCTAGTCTTGTGGGCGAACTGGGTAACGAGTCAGGGATGACTCCATTACACTTTGCCGCATACTCCGGCAACGAGAACGTCGTCAGGCTGCTTCTAAACTCTGTCGGGGTGCAAGTGGACGCAGCCACCACTGAGAATGTTAGTATCTAGTAGCATAGATTAAACTCTCACCTACATTTCTTATACTTATGAATACACTGACAGTTTTAATTTTAGTTCCATCTGGTTTATGTAGGGTTGTGCTTCTGTTTCTTGTTCTTTCAAAACTATCTTAGCTATATAAAACTATTTAATAAAAAACAATAGATTATCCTTTAGTTTTATAACCTAGTGAGTGAAGTAAAAATCATCAAATTAAAAGCAAATTTTGAGAAAAGATTTTTTTTTACTAGTGTTTAGTGTCACCAACATAAACTACACATAAATAAAATAGGCTTTACCTTTGTCAATCAGCTCTAAAGTTGTAACTGTTGTAATGGTCATTGCAACATCACAATGCCATCATAACATTTTAAATGAAAGACTGGTTTTACATTACACCTTCAACATGAATGGTTGTTTTCAGGGCTACAACCCGTTGCATTTGGCTTGTTTTGGTGGTCACATCACAGTTGTGGGGCTGCTGTTGAGTAGATCCTCGGATCTTCTACACTCCTCTGATAAGCACGGAAAGACAGGACTCCATGTTGCAGCAACCCATGGCCACTACCAGATGGTGGAGGTGCTGCTGGGACAAGGGGCGGAGATAAATGCTACGGATAAGGTAGGTGTAAAGGAAACAGTTCTTTTGATGTGTACTGTGACACTCTGGGCTCGGATTGCTCAGTATGGGGGGGGGGGTCGATGAATATTATACACAGAGTGTTTATCCTTGATCAATAATTCTTCATGAAAAGGGGCACCACCTAGTTTTTAAACTTCCTGGGATCCAAACTAGGAAATGTTCCAAGGAAAAGGAAAATTTAAAATAATTTCGAAAAACAAAATACTGAAAGGAATGGCAGAGGCTAAACCCTAAAGTTAATTAATTTAAGTCCTTGGCTAAACACACTTTTCAGCAAAATCTACCAAGTGATACTAATTAATAAAATATTTCAAAAATTGTCTTGATAATATGGCTTAAGATATCTGCTTATCTTTTGCTCAGATAAGAATGTTGATGCAAAATACTCTCTGTCTAATTCCAGAAGTTAAAAGTAGATAATAGGGCAAGTTCAAATAAGATGTTTTAAATAAATGTGGTTTCCAAGTTAAAATTAAAAATTCAAATAAATCTTATAAATCTAAATTCAAATTGTATTCAAAATATTCAAAAATACTATAACTGTTGTATCTAATCAAGATAGGGCACACGCCAGGTGATCTGAATGACAACTAGAATTTTCAATCACCACAAAATTATTTAATATTGAAGTAAAGAATGATATCTCAATAACAATTGCCCATTAATATTCAATATTCAACATTTGCAAAAGTAAATCCACTGAATTATACCTAACTTGTCGGCCGACACTAACTAGTGGCAATAAACATAGAATTCCCACTTAAAACTAATTAGAATAATCCCTGAAAATGTACAAAAGCAATAGCAAGTTAATTTAAATCATCTAAATATATACATATAATACAAAAGAGTGAAAATGAAATTGTCCTATCTGTGGTTTGAGTGCGTTGGTTAAGTCTGCGACGGTTAGGTGGAGCACGGTACACCCACAGGTTGACGAGTGAACACCAATGTCCAGAGAAGTAGTCCAACACGGTAAGTAGATGTCCCAAAAAGGTAGAACTGAACCAGAAACTCAACAGTCTAGCACCGAAGACCACATCAGGGGAGGTAGGTAGCACCAAGTAATCACTAGGGTCCAAAAATTCCCTGTGCAAAACCCATACACATACTAGTACTCAGGTCTAATAATATAGTAGTCATGTTCCTAGTTAATTTTTGCTGGTAGTACACCATGTCCCAAACATGAATAACTCAACTAATCTTCACTAAATTGAATAAAGTTCACGATTGTTATAAAGTCTCCTTCATTTAGGCATATAAATTTTCACATAACCTAACCTAAACATGATACAAGTGATACAATGATACAATGACAAAAGTGAAACGCTAAATATATTTAAATCAGTTCAAGTGAGTTTGAGTTTAAAATATAAGTTAAATTACAAAGTCCATGAGCTATAATTCAAAATATTTATCCAAAATAATGCAATTAGTTCTTGTATGGACCCCTTCACTACTAGAATATGATTCACTCTCTCAATTAGCACCCAAAAATGTATCATAGGTTGCTTTAATTTAAGTTTAGACTCACTAGCTGCTAATATATTCAAATAAGTTCATGTACAATCACGGAGATGATAAACTGTAATGTTAACACTTTCAAAAATTAATAATAACACATCTTACCCTATTAAACATTTAAATACATACTTACACACTTTGACATACATTGGTGAGACTTTGGAACGTTTATGTAAATCTTTACAAAATAATTCACTTTGTTTTACAGTTATTAATTTGCTAAATTAATTCATCATTTTGTCAGACTCAAAATTCACAGATAACATTGAACATTTAATTTAGTTGACTTTTCATTAAAACACATAATAAAACAATATTTTAGATCAAACTATATACAGCACTATTAATAAGAAATTGCAATTGAGCATTTTAAAATGTGGAAACTTCTATAATTAATTGCTTCTAATGTGATTCAGCCATAGTGAGTATACTGGTCTATGTGAAAATAAAATATGGATTGAGAGTTTTATAAAAATACAACAAGGGCTATATTACAGGAACATGATTATTAAACATTTATATTTACAGTATACTACAACACAACAAGGGCTATATTACAGGAACATGATTATTAAACATTTATATTTACAGTATACTACAACATAATCGTTAACATTTTTAATAAAGAGACAAATTAAAAGATTTTAAGTAATCAGTTACCAGCTTTCATGTTTCATCCTCAAAACAGGTTTTAGTTGGCAAAATTTTCCACTGTTACTAAGAAATAAATTGTACTGATCAAAAATACCATATAATTTGTGAATTCTACATCAACTACAATATTTATCAGACTAAATCACTTTAAAATTAAAGGTAACAATATTAAATAATAATTCTTAAAATATTCCAAAGCCTCCTACACTGCATGTCTAGCCAAGATTTCATCATGAACAAGTTACACTGAAATATATTTTAAAAGTTAAATTTAATAATTCATATGATTTCAAAATCGGTTAAAATCAAATTAAAGTATTTACAACTATTCTCACCTCTGCCAATAAATCCCTAAAGGTGGTCAGGAGGGAAAGAATGATCCAAAGTAGAAAGCTTGCAAATTGCTGACACTTCTTCTAGGCTTGCTGACTCCAAAATGGCTAACTTTTAACTTTAAATCGCATAAACGTCCTCAATTTAGTTCTGGAAATTTCCACACTGTTCCTGCTTCATGTATAACTTCAGTCCAGTTTGCAGGTTTTCTGCTATGAACATGTTTCAAAGGGGGAAGGAGTGGGGCGGACAAAGTTCAACTCAAATCCTGAGTTATGGACTTTCCTTAATGCCTGCAGAACTTTATTTGCAAAACCAATGTTTAAATGTAACAATTGTGGTATCCCTCATGGAAGGAGCTCCTAAAATACCATGAATGTGTTTTATGATCATGGCCAGTGATCATGTTGGGAAACTGTGGCAATTATTAATTTAAATGGTTACAGTACCTACTTAGTTTTAAGTTGCATTACGGAACTAAAACCTTTTATTGTTTAAGCATGGATCAATTAAAAAATCTATTCTATATATTTTCACTACTTTTAGTTTGTTTTTCAACTTGTTATTGTGCATTAATATGTAAAAACTGGTGCCTTAACCTGTGCTTTGTCATAAAAAAAAACAGCCAGGATTACCAATGGTAGTAGAATTTGATTCATGTTCTTCTGTCAATGGCATCAATATATACATTTTAAATACAAGCAGAGATATTTAGTTTTACACTATTTTGACTTACTTCATTTGTAAATGAGCTAGACCATTCCCTTACAAAACATGCAAAAATGCTAATGACGTTAAGACCAAAAATAAAATATAGAAGTGGAAGTGACTACTAAAATAAGACATTGCATATCACCTGGATCTGACCAGCCTAGTCTGGTTTATGTACCTAACAAAATACCACTAAGCCACTATACCACTATAAGTTGTTTTTCTCCACACAAAATGTCATGTTGTTACCAGAACGGATGGACGGCGTTGCACTGTGCTGCCCGCGCCGGCTGTTTTGATGTAGTTAGGTTGTTGGTTGAGTCTGGTGCATCTCCCAAGTCAGAGACCAACTACGGGTCTGCTCCAATCTGGTTCGCTGCCTCCGAAGGTCACAATGACGTCCTGGAGTATCTGCTGACCAAGGAACACGACACGTACAACCTCATGGAGGATAGAAGGGTGAGTAGCTAATTCTCTTCTCGGTTATTATGTTACTCTGTTATTGTATGGTGTTATTCACTTGGACCGCTAAAGTTAAGTTCTCAAGTTTGGCTATAATTAATTACTACCTAACAGAACTATTTGGTATCCCTCACATCACACTAGAAAACCACATATAATTCTGTATAAATATATTTTGAACAAAAAAAAATTATTCTCCAACCAGTATTTTTTTTTCGAGGTAACTTGTAAAAAACATGGCTAAATATTTAGGTAGTTATATATTTATAATCCAAAGTAAAATATTTATCATTTTACATGTAAAAAAACTACTGCTTGTGTTGTATGCAATGCTTTATTAAAACTGGTCGTCAATTAATATCAAATCTCCTCCTTGGATTATCTGTTCTGGAAATTTTGAATTGTTTATAACAATTTATTAATTAACACCTCATTACAAATCCTGAGCACATGTTGAAGAATATGTGCCTGGACTTTTAAAAATGAACATACTTTTACAAAATGTTTTACATTTCAGTTTGTGTATAACCTCATGGTGTGCAGCAAGAAGCACAATGATAAGCCAATGCAGGAATTCATCCTTGTGTCTCCAGCACCTGTGGACACAGCAGCTAAATTGTCAGCCATATATATACAACTGTCTAGCAAGGTGGGTACAACTGTCTTAATTAGAGTTTCACCTACTGATCATTGCAGCATTGGGGGAGCTACTTACAAAATTAACTAGCAATAGCTATAGTTAATTTGCTCCATCTAGTGAATTGGATTATCGAATCACACAGAAAAAAGTTCGATGGATGAGGCATTGAATCACACTATAACATGGCTATCCTATAATCCACTTTGATTCTTACAGATAACCATTTTTCGTTTTGACGTTTTTCACAGGAAAAAGAGCGAGCCAAAGATCTAATTTCGGCAGGTCAGTTCTGCGAGGGGATGGCTACAGAGTTGTTAGCTCTTGCGGCCGGCGCAGACTCTGCAGGTAGAATACTCACAGCTACAGACCGTAGAAACATGGAGTTTCTGGACGTACTCATTGAGAATGAACAGAAGGAAGTCATCGCACATACTGTGGTCCAGAGATACTTGCAGGTGAAAATCAAACATCTTTATTGCTAAACTAGTATAAACTTCAATGCCATATACATCTGTTTAACAAATTTACTACCGTGGGTCAGTACACTAAATATACAGAGTGGTGTGACAGTCGGTACTGAACCTAAGTTATGTTGGATAAAATGTTTGTAAGTTCTGATATTTGACCAGTTGTTACTCATATATTGGCAATTGAGAAAGTTTTCCTCCATACATGTACATCTTTGACAGGAACTGTGGCAAGGGAGTCTCGGTTGGGCAGCATGGAAGACGATGCTCCTCTTCATCACGTTCATCATTTGTCCTCCGGTCTGGATCTACTTCACTCTCTCCCTCGGCCACAAGTACAACAAGATCCCTATCATCAAGTTCATGTCCTACCTCACGTCTCACATCTACCTGATGATCCTGCTGATGTTGGTTGGCATCACACCTATCTACCAGGTGGTGAGATCTACTCTCAACCCGTACTGGTACGAGTGGGCACTGCTAGTGTGGCTATCAGGGCTGTTGTTATCCGAACTGACCAACCCGAGTGATAAAACTGGCCTCGGCTGGATCAAAGTGACAGTGTTACTGTTCGGAATATTCGGCGTAGCTTTGCATCTAGTTGGCTACTTAATAGAGAGACTTTACTGGCCAACGCTGATGTACCTGAGAAATCAGCTGTTTGCGTTGTCGTTCCTCTTAGCTTGTGTACAGATTTTAGACTTTTTATCGTTTCATTACCTGTTCGGTCCTTGGGCCATCATTATCGGTAATCTGATGAAAGACTTGGCCAGGTTTCTAGCCGTGCTGGCGATTTTCATTTTCGGTTTCGCTATGCATATCGTCGCGCTGAATCAACCGTTCAAGAATCAAACTCCAGAGGAGATCAGAGCGGGGCAGCACAACCACAAGTATGTTCCTCCAACGTACGGTTACTTCGCTGAGGGTGAGTAATTCATTAACAACTGTACCGTGTGAATCTTATTTCCACTTTAAGTGTAAATACATCTTGCATTATCTATGGAATGTTGATTCAGTCACTGTATAATAATTATTTGCAATATCCACTAACATTAAATACTTAATTTTGACTCAACTCTATTCACACTTTTCATAAAACACCTTCTCTAAAACTATATTTCGTACTAACAACATATAGTAAATGTAGTGAGAATCATAATATTGCAAGTTATAAATTACATTGACAAATAATATTGATTGACACAGTTAAACCAGTCATAAAATAATCATTGGATAAAAACAGCTTATAAATAAAGTGTATTGAAAACAATCAACAACAACAAATCAAATAGATGATATTTCTAGACAAAACTTTCAATAAATTAATATTCACAATACAGTTTTAACTTGCTGACTGGCATGATAGTAACACATTAGATTGCACTCAATTTTGTCTTATTTTCCTTCATTGTTGTTAGAGTTCAGTACTTTTGATGTTCTGATTGTTGTGAACTAGAAGCTGTGTATAGTACAATAGTACTAAAAGATCAATGTCAAAGTAAACCCATTTCTTCTCAAAACCATATTTAAAACTGGACCCAGCTGTCCTAAATCATGGTGCTTTTAATAATTAGTCCGTGCTAAAAAAAAAAAACAAAAAAAACAGCTGATCTTAGTCAGTAACAAAGATACACAATTAGGCACCCCACTCTATTCTACACTCATCCTGTATTCTGATTACTGTATCCAAAAATACAGCCTTTAACCGAGTAACACACAATTACACAGAATCACACAAAGCTCAACAGTTCTGAACTTTATCAACAAGCTTGACACACTAGCGGATCCTCTTCAATTCCTAAGATGCCAATCAAAAGCTAAGTCTTTGTTACAATAGAGAACTTGTCGTCAACCACTCCCCTCCCCCAGCTGGAGCCAGATACCGTCTATTGTTCATGGTATACGAGGAGACGGAAATGTGTTTGGCGGGGAGGTGAAGACTGTAAGTTTGACGAGGCTTCTAGAATAGTCTTGATGTCGTCTCACCGGGAACCTTGCTGCTGCGCTCACTAAATGTCTAGGATAGGGCTTTCAATGTCAGCAGGGATGGTAATGCAAGAGAAAGATTGGCTCCCGTTAGCTTAGGGCTTTCAGTGTTTGCATCCTTATTTGATAGTTTATTCATTTACTTTATGAGCGTTTGGCATTTACGAATGCAGTTTGTTATGTATAATGTGAGAAATGTAATTTCTATGTGTACCTTAAAAGTAGGTTATTGAAGTAAGACATACGGTTAAGCGATAACCAAACTTATCTATTTTTTTCTAATAATATTTTGGCATAGTTTTTTTTTTACACACTTTAGGCCTTTCTTATGAAGACTAAGATTTGATTGGCATTGAAGAATTGAAGGGAAGTATTAAACATAACAAACTATCATTTATCTTGTAGGATGAAAATGCACTCATATACTATTTTAATAGTTCCATGTTCATGTAAAAAATATTTTAATAAAAGGATATATTTTGTTTATTTGTTTGTATATTTTATGTAATAAAATGTTAAAATATACCCACTGATACCACTAATACACTGATCTCGCTATAAATACTCAAATACTTAAATCATAATAAACTAGCATTGACTTTAAAAGTAAGACCAACTCACGTAAAAATTAGATCTGATCTATATGTAACTTTTTATAACTTTACATAAACATTTTTGAGGTATAAAAAAGCATCTTGAAAATATTTTTCCAGTATTGTTAAGGTATGTTGACTTATATTTCATTGGCTTTGCATACTTTAAAATTAGTTAACAAGAAAGTGATACTAGTAAGGTTGTAAAGTATTGAACTTCTATTGCACGCAATAACACATTCGAATGTCTGCTTTTTGCTATAGCACTTCAAATTGTTTGACAAGATTTGTGCTTTAAGTTTCAGCAATTATTAGGTACATTTTTAAGTCACGGAGTTTTTTATCCATCTAAAGCATTTCCATCCAAGGTGAGTGAATGATTTTTTGCCGTTTCCCTAAATTTGGGGCTCAATGTCATAATTTCTCCAAAATTAAGTATTTTTGGGCTTCGAGGAAAGAGATATGTATTGGTGAGGAGTTACTTTAAGCGTCGTTGTCCTTCTGGCTAAAATGCTTTTACGTACCTCTTTAAAAAAATTATAAAAAGTTTGAATGAAATTTTAGTTTTTTAACTTTTTGTGTTGATTGATTAGTAATGTTTATATTATTGATTTAATACTAAAATATTTATATAAAATTTTAAAAATAATGTTATATAATGTTGGTTTTTAAAATAACGAGCTGTTGGCCTGTCCTACGTACGGGAATCAAGTACTCAATTAAAACTGAATATAATTCAGAAAAGCTAGATTACAGGAATAAAGACAAATTCTGGCATCAGTTTCAAAAGCACATTAATCTTGTACAAATGTCACGTGACCACCTATTTCTTTCATTTGATTAGGCCATACAATATGTATTTTAAATCCATATTTACAATCAAACAGCAATTGTGTAGATTTGAAAAGCCTTGAAGTGAGATTGGCCGTTGATTGACACACACTGGTTTAAAGTACAAATAGCTATACCACATTCCATTGCATACTATCACTTATTGTACCTTATTTTGCCTCAATAGCCACTGAAACCTTAAGAGGATTTTGGCCTCCCATTCTCTTCTATCCCTTGATCATCTAATGTAGATCCCAGTCTGGATAAGTCTTTCATTGCTTGGTTCTCCTAGTGGTCGTCTTCCTTGTGGTACTCCTCAGAATACACTTTTATAAAGTGACTAGCTGGCCCGACAGACGTCGTCCTGTCCTAATGTGGTTTTATGTCAAATGCTCGTTCATTTTCAAGGTGAGCTCGTTCGCATGGCTCAATCACGTCCTGGTTGAAGTTCGTTCACTCACCTTTAGGTTGGAACTCGTTCGCTGCGCTCACCTGCCTTCAAGTTAGCTCGTTCGCTATGCTTACTCACCTCCAGGTTGAAGTTCGTTCGCTACGCTTACTCACCTTTTGGTTGCAAATTAGCTGTCGTCATAAATTTAAAAAAATAATAGTGCTGCACCCTGTTAGTAAACCTATTAAATTTTTAATGCTATTGAACATCACAGAATCAAATTCTTTAGTTGAACCAGCTGTTAAGACTCTTTAATTCCATTTAAATATGAATACTCATTAGGTTAACATGGGAAACTCCAGAGCCACTGGGGCGTAGCCCTTTTGACGGATCTGCAACAAACTTCACACAAACCATCCTTGAATAATGCTTAATAATACCTGAAAGTTTCATTACAATCTGTCGGGCGGTTTCGGAGTCCATAAAGGATAAACAAACAAACATACATTGGATTTTATATATATAGATGTATCTTCTCTCCACTACGCATCTAGCCTGCAAATGAGCCTTTTACTTTCTGAAAGCACCCACATATCTGGGTGTTTAAAACGTTTCTCTTAGCTCTCTGTTCTTTCGTATCTCAACCTCCCTTATCTTGAAATAGCCAGTCAATCTTTTCTGTATTCTATATTCTCAAACCCAGCAATAAGGTTTTTCTGTTCTTTGGTCAGTCAGTGCCCAAGTTTCTGAACAATACAGTACTGCTGGGATAATATGGTATGGATCAAATTTGGTTTCTACTAACACCCTGCAGCTTATTGGACAGTTTTCAGATCTACTACATCGGTTGACGTTTTCATTACCATCCAAAGATTTGGTTTGCCAAAATAGTCCTGACATCATTTATTTAAATCATCCATACTTATCCTTTACTAGCTGGCCCGACAGACGTCGTCCTATCCTAGTGTGGATTTATGTCAAATGCTCGTTCATTTTCAAGATGAGTTCGTTCGCATGGCTCAATCATGTCCTGGTTAAAGTTTGTTCGCTACGCTCACTCACCTTTTGGTTGCTAATTAGCTGTTGAAGTTCGTTCGCTACGCTCACTCACCTTTAGGTTGGAGCTCGTTCGCTGCGCTCACTTGCCTTCAGGTTAGCTCGTTCGCTACGCTAACTCGCCTCCAGGTTGAAGTTCATTCGCTACGCTCACTCACCTTTTGGTTGCAAGTTAGCTGTTCTCATAAATTAAAAAAAAATATAGTGCTGCACCCTGTTGGTAAACATATTAACTTTTTAATGCTATTGAACATCACAGAATCAGATAGTTTAGTTGAACCAGCTGTTAAGATTCTTTAATTCCATTTAAATATGAGTACTCATAAGGTTAACATGGGAAACCCCAGAGCCACTGGGGCGGAGCCCTTTTGACGGATCTGCACCAAACTTCACACAAACCATCCTTGAATAATGCTTAATAATGCCTGAAAGTTTCATTACAATCTGTCGAGCGGTTTCGGAGTCCATAAAGGACAAACATACATTGGATTTTATATATATAGATAGGCCCATATAGAATGAATTTATAAAAGTAAACACTCTAGTAAGCTAGTCACGTAATTTTTCCATGTTTATCATCCATACCGTTATCCGTGATAATTACCCATCCTCATTGACATCCTAATATCATTCATACTCATTTAATTTATTCAAACTATAAGATATATAGATGAGATAAAAGTTATATTTTGCCTACATCAGCGCACCCAACGTAACCAACAGATGAACGCCAAACAACGTTTTAGATTTACAAAAGATACTTACAGTATCCTAGGTCAATGATAACATTGTGTTTAATGTATGTCATCCATATGTTTATCCCTGGATAAAACCCGTCAGGAGATTGTGGTAGTAATCTAAAATCTCCATTCCTGATCATTCTTAATCTCTTTGTTTTATAACATCAATATTTCCAGGACTAATCCAAACAAAGGTTAAGCAGTCAAACATTTCATTGTTAACAAGAGGCTGCCAAGATTATTTAAAACTTGTAAGCTCTGTTATTTCCCTACTCTTTCCTAAAAAAGTCGAGCAGTAGAACAATTTGCACAGGCTTTTCTTTGAAGACTCGAGGGGCAGAGCCTCCCGATTGGTATACAGCAATGGCTTACTTAAATCTGTGGTCTAATTATCTCTACGAATCTTATTTATTTCCTATAATCAAGGACAAAATCATAGACAAAATAAAAATAACCTCATAGAATATTTAAATAATAGAATACAATATTTTTATATCCATCCAGCTGTTAGTTCAAACAAATTTGCAGTGAAACATCATCTTAACACCAAATAAATGGACGGATCGATGATTATAGCATTACACATAGTATAAACAAATCAACCCTATGTATGTCATTTTTATCCAAATGCTGAATTTGTGTCACAAACGATGAATGTTCTATTTCAAATCAGTAAAGTGGTTGATTCAGAATCAAGAAACAGAAAAACCCCGTCACATGATATGTGATAAAACATTAAACAAATATTTTTGAGAGTGCAATGGATTGAAATCTGCCCCTTTAAAAGAAGATTTTCAATTTTTACTAAAAAATACTATTTAAATATTCAAAGGGACCGAATTACCTTATCTCATCTATATCATCCACTAAATGGTGTCAACACATGATCCTTTTTGAGATTAGCACCTTGCCAATAGGTTTGTTGGTTTGTATTGTATAGTGTAAATCTGTGTATCACTTAAATTTTAATATTTAAAAGACACAAATGCCCAACAATAACAATTTAACATTTACAATCACTCCTTTCCAGTGCGACTGAACCCAATGTCTGCCCTGGAGTTCCTGTTCTTTGCTGTATTTGGTCAGACAACGCCAGACAACTTGAAGACAAAAGACACGACACAGCCGGAGTGGACGTTGTACTTGTTCAAATTTGTGTTTGGTATCTACATGTTGGTGTCGGTGGTTGTACTCATCAATCTACTGATTGCTATGATGAGTGACACTTACCAGAGAATCCAGGTATGTTGTGTTTGTAAATTATTGTTTTAATTTAATTTTTTATTTATATGTTTTACTTATCCGAATTGAACAAGTAAATAGAATGTACAAGAGCCAATGTTGAGCTGCTGACAGGGTGTGTTGTAGTAGAATACCATTTTCTTTCCCACAAAAACCTTTTAATCATACCAAACTAAAAGACCAACTTAAAAGAAAAAAGAATAAAACAGGAAGTTGAATGTAAATATTTGGAACACCTATCACCAAACTACAGCTCGTGACATCTAAGCTTATTCACTTATTACTTATTCACTTGGCCGATCACTACTAGTATCTAGTTCAAAAACATTATGTCGCGTCATGCGGGTTGCATCAACTGTCCTCGCGACCCATATGAAGGCGCTCAAGCACATAGTACAAGAGGAGTCTACCCCGTGAGGCAGCAAAATGTTTGCAGTCTGGTCTTTTCCCTACCTCCACCCTCCTCTCGCCTACATTGCCCACGCTAGGCCAAGTGCCTGCTTAGATGTCACGAGCTGTACCTCTGGATGTTCTTTTTGAGTTCAAAACTACTTAGTAAAAGCCGACTAACATGGGATATCTAGTTCAATATCCAAAGTCAATGGATTTGGCTTTATTTAAGGAAAATTATTAGCCCACTCAAAATCATCAATAATCTCTAAGAAATGAAAATATTACACACAAAACCATACAAAACATTTCTTTTTGAGGCAATTTACTTATTTAACAATAACATTATTTAAGGATTCTTTGAAGATATTCGTAGTTTTGAATCACCATTTTTCCTACAGGCACAATCTGACATTGAATGGAAGTATGGTCTGGCGAAGCTGATTCGTAATATGCACAGAACCACAACCACTCCTTCCCCCATCAACCTCATCACAACTTGGCTCATGTATCTCCTCAGAATATGTAAGCGAAGAAGTAAGTATCGATTGTACTCATATTTCTTTGGGAGGGTCATTCTATATGGAGGAAGTCCAAAAATAGGCAAACAAGAGTTAATTTAAACGTAAAGGTCAAAATTTAAAGTCCTTTGTTACAAGAAAATATATTGCCACAATCCCAACTGAAAAAATCACTTATTTAGAAGTAGCAGCCTAACAACATTTGTTTGATTTTGATATCATGTCTATTAAAAATCTAAATTGACAAGTAATTCTTTCAGTTAAAATTGTATTTTTCATTGCATAAAATACCAAACTATTCGCAACAAAAAGTTTCCTGTGTCAATTTCTTAAAATTTCATTAACAAATTCTATTTTTTACAAATGATCTGTACAATTTCTGGTCCAAGTTAGCACTACCTCATCTCTGTTATAGAGTTTAGCTTATTCACTATACAATTCTGAGATTCAGTCACATGATTGATCACTCATCACTCAGTTCACATAGTTTTAGTGAATCTCCCTCTATGGAAGTAGCTGTTACCATGATAGGTCTCATGACAAGACCTGGACCTGGGACCAATTTTGTTTTTCATTTTATGTCCTAAATATATGTGAATGTGATTCCCTGTAATCAAAAACTCAAGTCATTTATTTGGTCTGATTTTGATGAGATTTGGCATAAACAAGAGATGTGGCATCAACTTGTATGAGTTTGTGAACCAGCCAGATCAGGTCATGGGAACAAAATGTTATGGGGTTTTGAAATGTTCCAAATTTTGATCAAATTAGTCAAATTTATTTATTTTATACACAGCTATTATTAAAAATAACAAAAACACACAGAGTGTTTGATAAAAAAACACTTTAAAAAACTCCCTGTAGCACCAAACCTAGGTACTTGTTAAACCTAATATTATTTAAATAGATTATTATTGAAAATCTAATCAGGCAAATGTAAATTTGCTTAGTCTGCAGGTTTGCTGTGGCGAGGGTATTTGACTATGGAAGAAGTTATTGCTACAGAAGATTTCCTCAATATTATCGTGACCGCAGAAATTTTTTTGATCTTGCCGTGACTGCCAAAGATGTTCTCGATCTTGCCATGACCGAGTGTTTACGATTTTGCCTTGTCCACGAATAACGATCACAATTTTACCTTGACTAAAACAGATTTTCCCAGTTCAAGTTCAAAATTTCCACATAATTCCTGATTCAATAAATTTACGCAAACTTCCAGAAATTCTCAGACTGTTTGGTCACCCTGGAAGGGTCAAAGGGGGGGGGGGTTGGGCCTCCTTTTGGCCCTTATGCATGGACGCCCATGCACTTACAACTTTAAATGAGACATAACACATCTTGGTCCAACAGTGATGCAGAGGAAGAGGCCAAGTTTGGTGCAGATGATGGGGCTACAGTCACGCTCTCGAGTCAGCGCAAGATCCAAAATGGGCGCCAAGTGGTTGGCCAAAGTCAAAAAGGGACAGGTGGCGCCGAAAGGTAGAGGTACATTTCTTTTCTTCACCTTTTTTCAACTTAAGCAGCTTAATTTTAGTTACAAGCAAATCATTTTACAAGCAATTTTGTCTGTTTGGACCACCTCAAATTTGGTCTTTGTTCACACAATCACTTGGCTACGATTGGTTTCTAATATTCTTGCCATTAGTAATTTTTTCATCATATAGTCAATAAATGAGTCAATACCTTTTTTAAATTATGTCAGACTGAAACATTTTGTTTATGTGTTCTTAACATTAGTATCATGATTGACACAACAGTGTATTTACTCCTAACACATCACAAAAGCATGATTTATTTTAACACGTACCTAATCACTTCTCTGATTTGTTTGCATTATTTGGTAACAAAGCATAACATTCTATTTTTTCATCAGATTAATGACTTTAATTTGTTTAGAAGGTTTAATAAAACAATTAAAGTTTAAATACCTGTGTAATCACTATTTAGTACCCATAAATGTGTAAAAAAATACAATGAATACAATTTTATTCCATGGAAAAGTTGCTGAAAAAAGAGTGTCAAAATGAGATGTTTCTCAGGAGCTTCTGTTTTTACTGATTTTGACCTGGTTAGAAAACCTCCATACAAACAACGTCGATCAGCACGGAAAATTTAATATTGAGCTAGTGATACTAGCTGCAGAGATAAAGAGACAAATACAAAACCCACCAGCATAAAACAACGGTGATTAAGTATATTTCATTACATAAGTAAAGTAATTAATAGGCTTCCATGTAGTGTCAAAAATGTTAATAGATAACAGATGAAAGGCCTAATACAATGTAAAAAGTTCAAGATTGAGTGGATCTTTATTTACAAATGAAGCAATAAATGTATTATGCAAGTGCAATGCAATAAACAAAAACTGTAAACATTGTTAATTACTGTCATGGTTAAGAATGGATTTATTTAACAATACTAATGCAAATTTGTCATCTTTCAGAATCCGTAGCGTTGAGTGTGGTTCACCTCAGCCCTCTTGGATCTCAGTTGAGTTTCAGTAACGCTGCGACAAGGATAGAAAACATCATTGATTGGGAAATGATCGCGAATAAATACCGAGCTCTTATTGGTGAGCTGAATGAATCCAACCAATCAGGGGGCGACAACGGAGAACCAGCTAATGCTTCCGGAGACTCTACAGCTCCAGCAATGACCAATCAGAGCTAAGAACCAACATGTTGCATAGAGTATGAAGTTTAGTGACCAATGAGTAATGGATTCATTGTGAAAGGGTGTCTGTGGTATTTTGATTTGAACAAAGACAACACCCGCTGTAACCATTATAGTATGTCTACTGTCTTTCAATTGTGATGCTGGAACAAAAACAATCGCTGGAAAAAAGCTGTAAACTTATATTTGCTGCTAAATGTGTGTATAATTCATACACCAGGGTTCAATATAAATTAAAAAGCATCAGCCTTTTTTTAATTGAATTTTTGGATTCATCTTAAAAATTAAAACATTGGATGGAGGGATATGTATTGAAACGTCTTTACTTTGAAATTCTTTATAGGCAAAGTTTTTTGAGCGCTTAGCTATAAGACGAATCTGTATGCCTATGACTAAAGAATTAATTGGTCTTTTGAATGGAAATTTCAGTTTAGACTGTTTACTCATTCAATACAATTTGTGAATTTTTATTCGGGAAGCCCTCAGAGCCTGTTCCAAGACTTAAACCGCCCGCCCTTACTTGGATGGTGTAGGAAATTTGACAGGCACTGAATCTTACCTAGCAAGAACCGAGTTTAAGATTTAGCAGTCTTTTGCAGCATTGGTGAGAGTCTAATTTTGGGGCTAGGCAGTGTAAATATAAACTTACTCAAGAAATTATAATGTTCTATGCATTTCAATACTGGCATAATCCACACCCTCACTCCAATGAGTTCAACCCGAAATCCAAACATTTAGTTCCTTGGTGTCTTTATTTTACACACATTTAGAGCAACTAGTGAAGTTGTTAAGTGTAGTGATTAAGGATAAAGATACCGAGTGCCATGGACAGGTTCTCTGAGTCAGCCATCAATCAAAATAGGGAATAAACATATTTGTATCATAATGTTGTCTTCATAATGAAGGGCAACAATATTGTTTTAGCCAAATATAAATACTATTTTAGTGTGTTTTGTACTGTAGAATTTTATAAGTGCTATTTTACATGTGCCACAATAATACTATTGTCTTTATTTTTATACAGGTAACACGTCAGCTTTTTGTTTCATATACTGTCTTTGACTCACGTAAAAATGTATAGTTAACTGTTTAAAATGTAAAATTCAAAATTATAAATTTGAAGTACGGTACTACTGGACTGAAATGTTGCATGAATGTTTGCCATTTCTTGCCTTCTAAGAGGGTTTCTAAGAACTGATATATGAGACACGGCTGGTCACCTTGCTTGAGCGCGAGACCTCTGTGTAGAATCATGGGTTCAACTCTCTCCAATCATCAACAGCGTTCAGCCTTGTGATAATGCCATCCGATCTCAAGTCGTATATCCAACAATCTATAAAAAAGATAAGTCTCTTCATTTGAGAACTTTCTAAGTACCGGTATTGAAGAACGCCCTTCACTAACATCCATACTGTTTTTATAACCAAAACATTCATGGTAAATGCAGTAGTATATTGAAGTTTTGGGCCTATCACACTGCTTCCAGGTTTTTTGTTGAAGACAATTATAAAAATAATTATTTCAGAATATAAGCTTATTTAACAAGAAAATATTTTGAAGTTTGCTTAAAACTTGTTCTGCGGTTTTACTGCTATTTTTATTAAAGCTTTAATTTTGCATTTTTGTCTGTAGAATGTGAAACAAAAACTTAAGGAACACAATCAAGAATCAACAGAAATAGCCAGAATTCCCCATCAATATAAACACATTTTAGAACATTGTTTTCAAAAAAAAATTCATTTAAACGGTCCTATATGAAGTTAAATTAACTATATATATATATGCCTCGTTGTACTAAAAACAAATAGTTCATGACCAATAAGAACTTTAAATCAAAATAAACTCACTGCCTTTTTCTTCTCAATTAGTTTTAGCTACAGTACTTAATATTTTCATTTGAGTTAATTCATTAGCAAACATCTATTATAGATAAATTGATGAATAGACAAAAACCCCTACTATAATATTAGGTTGGACTTATGAACCTCCAAAACAGTCTAATTTGATGTTATAGATGAAAATTATAATTTTTTATTTACTTTTGAATAAGCTAATACTGTAATTATTAACTGTACAATTTATTGTGTGCAAATGCCAGAGACTCCAAAAACAAAATTGTTCTTGCTTCCAGAAATGTTGGTTGAGTTGAGTCTAAACTAAATAACTTGTAATATTAAAAAGTTAATTGTTTATTGTTTAGTAACTAATTTGTATTCATAATTAATTAATAATGTATCAGAGAATTATTGTCAAATGATGAAAACCCCAAATGAAAGGATGACCGGTAAAAAGTGTATCTATAGAATTTGAAAATGTGTGAGTACAGTAGTTATTATTATCTGAGATAAACAAAGACGAACTTTTTGATTATTTATTTGTATTATTACTATATACTCTTATAACTTAATATTCATTTGTTGAATGTTCATAAAAATATCTTGAGAAAATACCTACACTGAATAAAAAGGCATAAAAGTAAAAAAAGCAAAATTATCAATTTGAAATACTTTATTGTTAATCTGTTGTTATATTATATGTTATTAATATGTTTTATATATTGTTATTATTGAAAAATATTATCTATGATATTTTATATATTAGTTATTAATTGTTATTATTATATGTATAACTTTTTCTAGTACCTATTATCTTTGCTGAATCAGTGGAATGGTATCTTATTTCAGTGAACTGCCTAATCAAGGGTTGGTGTATACTTAAAATATCTTTCATTTAGAATTTAAAAATCTTGTTAAATAAATTTATTAAACGTTTAGCTTAAAACAACTACATTGACATTTGGCTTAAGGTTATACATTTAGCTTAATAACACCCCCAACAAACAAAATTACAGTGATTTAATTTCTTACTATCAATTTAGTCCTAAATATTAACTGAATTATCAAAAGAGAAACAAATATTGTTCAAAAGTCAAACTGTAATAGTATACTGCATTCAAGTTTTTGATTTTTCAAATAAGAGCAAATTACAATATTTTAACCTTTTCAAACAACAATACACACCAATCTTTAAAGCTATTTTTAACATTCAAGTCTACTAATGTCAAACCATAAATTAAAAAAAAATATATATAAGGCACTACAGAGGTTTATAATTATAGCTCGTGCCTTAGACTATATCAAGGTGTTGCTATTTTTATAGTTTATATTATATTTCTTGTTAATGATATAAAGCTGATTTATAAACTGGAACAATGTACATTGTATTGCATATGCAGTGTATAGTAACCACTTGTATATTGTATAGAGAGTATATTGTATGTAATTTACCATTGTTTCATTTTACCTTGCAACTTGTGTAGTTTTTCACATGTTTAATATTCATAAACTGTGCTTTTTTTAGTCTACTTAAAAATGCAAAAAGTATTTTTTCTAAGCTGGATTAATTATAACCTATCTTCCTTAATCAACTCAATCCTTTCTTCTTGTTACAGATTTTTTGCCTTTAAAACACTATCTTCAGACAAAGCAGACATCAATTATTTTAAAGGTTAAAATATTTAAATTAATACATACACTTTTTAAAGAGACCTGTCATATACTCACGTTAGGTTATGTGCCATTTGAAATCACCAAAGGTTCAAATGTATAGCTTAATGGACTTATTTGTTAAAATACAGATTACTATCATATTGTCATTAGATGACTATGAAACTTCCACAGAGCTTACTTTGATTTAGAATAGGCCAATGTTTAAAAACAATAAGTATGAGATATGAATTTCAACAATATAGTCAACAATATAGTATTTGTTTTTGTCAAGCTTGCGTTAAATGTTTTGAAAAAAAAATACAAGTATAAAATACAAGAATTGAGATATAAGGGGTTAAAGGTTATACACATAGGATACAACATAACAACTTTTTTATTTGCATTTGTACATGTGGCGTATTTTCTGAACATCTTTTCTACTCAGATTTTCTCTTTGGCCAAGTGTAACTCCTCTTGTCTGTAAACAATAAAGTTCCGAAGAAAATGTTACAAAATTACAAATTACGTATAATATTGTGCTATAATCTGCACTGGATTTCTAAAAATGGTAATCTGGGACCAGAGATTATTATTGTCAGTCCTTAGAAGACTTTTAATGTTTGGGACAACCACTGAGCTAGAGATACAACTATGGAGGCTGCACTGCATGAAAGAATTGAGAGACTGTATTCCAAGGGGTAAGGTACCGGTACATTATAGGTAGACATTGCATTTAATACATTGGAACTAGGAAATGAATAGGGGGATTGTGGGATTGTAATAAAATCAAGAGCCAATGAGCAGGTTCTCTAGTTGGTGCCACCATAACAAACTTTTACAGTGTGTCGATTTTCTATAGCAGAGTTGCTGTGCAAGTGCTACTTTTTGTCGTATTTTTTGCTCAGTGTGGCAACACATGTGTGTTTAAATATGCTGTACAAGGTTCTCTAGCTCATCACCCAGTAGCATCTCTCACTTGTTGGTTTCATTGTGTTTTTCAATTATATACTCTTTTTGATCAGTTATGTCTGACGTACCTTGGGGACTATGGTGGGTTGTCCGTTCCTAGAAAAAGCATTGGCAGAGTAATGCATCACACTGCGATAGTCATAAGCCACTCCCTGGTTATCAGTTTCCTTCTTTTTTGCTTTTTCAAAATTGTTTTCTCTGCCTGAAACATTTTACAATGCTCTTAAATGGTTTAGTTACATACTACTCCACGTACTAGTACTCCAGTACTAATGCCAGGTGTACTTCCTCTACTTAAACTTAATTTTTGTAAATCGGTCATAGTGAGAATGACACAATGTAATAAATTCTGGGATGATTGTAAAGTGTTATATAAGTTCAGGAAAAGTTTTGTGACTGAACGACTGAACATATAAGAGATCTTTAGAGTAAACACTCACCGGACTGGATGTTCTGGTAGTTGACTGTTACATGCTTGTCCCTTTCCCATCTGTTTTGTTCATGGAGAAAACCAATTGCGTGCATCATTTCATGCATAACCTAAAATGCACGTGGTACTTTACTTCATGTTTTTTCTATATATAATTCATACAGGTTTCATTTTTTTACCCTCAATAGCGGTTTGATGAGCCTTCTAATTTGGGTTAAAAAGACTGCTATGGTTTTACAAAACTTGCTATTGGGGTTGCAACTCAGTAAGTGGTGACTTCTGAGGATGAATTGGAATTAGTGAACTATTTAAAACTAGGACTATATACAGCAAATGTTCGATCTTAGACAGAACATTTTTCTGGTAGTGAGTGTGACAGAATAAATGTATTGTTTCCAAATTTGGAAACTATGGAAGGTTATGGACACAATAGAAAACAATTTAGCTGTGAACACGGACCTGAAATCCCAGTTGATAACCCCATTGGTATTTTAAAATTATATTTTGAATTATGAATTTAATCATGACTGGCACTGTTAACACATATGCCAAACAGCTAAGGGCAAACCAAGGTATCGTTTGGCACAATTTGGGAAAAACTACAGAAGTAAGGTCTCACAGGTGTTAATAATCTCACTTTGAAGCCTATATTACATACTATGTACTAGCCATGTACCTACTTTAAAAATATTACTATCATAATAATATCATTTGCCATCTCATCAATACAGAAAGAGGGTTATACAATACTAGTGCACCTGTTGCTTGAATTTGAGCAATTGCAAAGTATTACAGGCGTTAAACGAATAACGATCATAATTTCCGATGACAAGAGTCAACTCAAAGATAACGTGCAATCAATCACTCCACTACAGTTATCGAAACTGAAAACTAACTCACTCTGAAAACGAACGCTCTTGTGTGTATCATGTGTTTACTATGAACAGCTGTAATTAATACAAATTATTGGTCTGTTTAAGTAAACAAAATCTTTTCTTCATAAAAATACATTGGGATTTTGATGGCCTGTGGGGCAAAGCCCGAGGACTTTTATTACACGAATTTGTGAAAGGGGCGTCTACACAAAAAATCCTTAATTTTGACACATTGTAAAAATCCGTCCATTATTAACGGAGGAGTAGTGTTTCGTAGAAATCGCCTTCACGTATTATATATAAGGATAAGCTGAATATGACTGTATGCCTTGTTACTGTTAGCTTTATTTATTGTTACTGACTAAGACCAGCTGTTTCTTTAAACAGCACCATTTACCATCCATTATAATGATCAAGGACAGCTGGGTCCAATTTCAAACCATCAAAAATCTACGGGCTGTTTAGTGTTCAACTGGCTTATTTCTGACAACTATGCAAGAACTGTGACCACACTTGGTTAACTGAAAATATTACGCAACTGTTAAGTTAAGTGTTCTTTCAGTCATAAATTGGATGATGGTTACATTATTACACTTTCTGACTGTAAAATTTAAATTTTAAATAAACATGTTCAGGTTAGCTGTTTGTTGGTTGTTGTGTAAATCAGCTAGTTTACAATTACAAAAGTAATTACAGCTTATGCTTATCTTATAGATACATTTTTAATGCAAATATTGTTTGTCCTCACAGTGCTAAATTTCCAAATGTTGTCAGAAACACCACGTTAAATCCCATAAAAAAATGTAAAGATAAGCCCAAAAACTGAGGGAGAGAGAACCAGTCACACAAATGTAGGGCATGAATTAAGTATGATTACAAACTAGATACTTAAAGTGTTTAAACTAGAAATAATCTTACTGCCTGTTACTTTTTGCCTACTCTATAATCACCGTGCCCTTCTTGGTGAGGCATCCTGGACTCTGAAGGTTGAGTTCTTGTCGTCCGCCGATCCGGCCCACCGAGGACCAACATCCAGTGTTGCTGTTAGTGATGTAAACGTAATCTCTCTCACTACCAGTCCGCGGCACCCACTTGACACAGGTTAACTTCCGATACTCGGCAATAGCTTCGTTAATCATAGACTGGTCACGCTGATCTGGAAACAGAATCTTTTTTTAACCAATGGCTCTAGCAATAAACTGTAGCAGCTTCTTTAGCCAACAGCCTAAGATGGTTTTTAAGTAAGAAACTGTAAGTCAATAAAGGTGTGTTAATTTGTTTTAAAAGATGATGATGAATAAAAATTTGAGCAGAAAGTATCAATTAAAGTACCTTTGCCCCAATGGAGACTGGACTATCCGCAAGAAAGAGCAAGCAAAACAGAGGGGGGGGGGGGGCTGTGCTATGATCTGACAATCTTCACCTAAAATTGCATGACAGATGAAATGAAATAATATTTTATTTCCCTACTGCATAATACAATTTGTGGTATTTACATTATACAATCCTTAACTAAAAAAAATATTACAAAAGTATATTATATCTAAATGGCACAAAGAAAAAAAATACCTTGTCAAATTATCTGACACATTACCTTTTTAAACCTGAAATAATGACACCTTAACACCTCCACACCTTAATGTGAAAGAGTTACAACATTTTACTCAGGAATAGGTGAATCATATGTTAGTAAGTATAGGTACAACAATTCTGAAAATGTTTTAAATCCTTACATCTATGGTACAATATTACAATAGGATGTACAGGTTACTATAAACTATAACAAAGTTTGGTGGTGAACTAAGAGTCTACGATGCTACTTTGAACGCACATCAAACCCTGGAGGAACACGCACCCTGTCCCTCTTGCCATTTTGTTAAAGTACCTCCCCTAGAGCCCCAATTCACTTTAAATAAAGTAGTTGACAAACCAATACTCACTGAAGTAAGGACTGATCTCATATGGGACGATGCCCTTAGGCCAGTGTGTGGAAGCAGCTTTGAGTCCATTCCGAGCTTCCCTCTCGGAGGTGGCTGGTATCAGCAGATCTCCCTGAGCGTACTCCCCTAACTCCTCAGGATTTAGATCCATCTCTGGACTCCATCTAGATACTGCATCTCCTACAGAGGACAGACAAATTAGAAATTAAACTGAAAGAGTAAGAGCTTAATATAAGTTTGATAAGAGGTATGTGTTCCTTTCAAAACTGGTGCATGTCAGTTGAACTCTTTTTATTCAGCCGTGAAAATGAAACACTCATATTATTGCGATTTTATTGGAATTTATATTTTGTATTTTTTTGCGTTATTATTTGTTTAGAGACTTTAGAGTGATTTTATAAATGTAAAAATGAAGAAAAGGATTTATTAATAAAAATAAACATGTCTACCTTTAAAGGGTTGTCACACAGAAAAATTTACACATAAAATATTGAATGATTGTAACAGCTATAAGACTGATTAATTTTGATGTATTTTATATAAATGGTTTCTCATTATTGTCAATAAACCTCTTAATGTTTCATGTATAATTATTTTTAAAAAGGATCTGTCCAAATCATATTGTTTCCAAAACTATTTTTGTCTCATTTGGTCTAAACATGGTCTTGTTGTTATCTAAGTCGGTCATATTGTTCAATACCATCACATTAGATGATAGCCCGTCTACAATTGGTGTCTCGGTCCAAAATCATTCAGATTTTTTTCATATAACTTTTAAAACATAACCAACCTGACTCAGTCTTTGGCATGCCAAAAAGTGACTCTCCAATCTCCATGAGTTGCTCAGTCAGTCCTTCATCGGCCTCCGTTTCATCCTCTTGGATGAAGTTTTCCCAGAAAGGCGAAGGAGCAGGAGACGTCCACACTAACACCACCTGTAGCAGGAACACCAAAACTACTACAGTACGCATCGTCTGCTATCACCATAGAGTAATGATTACCCAGTATATATGTGAGTGGGTCAACAGATAGAGAACGAGGTGCCATTACTGCTGTCCTCTGATACATAAGTTTGCATTCTGAATGACCGTCGGAAGTGCAGATAACACGGTAGTTAATAAATTCTCTGCGGAATTTTTTGTGATAACCCTCATGTAAACACGGGTAATAAATCGTTGAAAGGACTTTGTACTCATCAGCGGCATTGCTATCTGCAGTTTTACATTTTTAACAATAAATTGTTTCATTACGTTTGTCAGATACCAGATTTGCTTAGGTCTTCTGATTGTTTCTTAAATTTAAAAGTTAAAATTAAATTTTTGTCCTATAAATTGTTATGTTTGAATTAACCTAATGTTCTTCTTTTACATTTATTAGAGCGTTGTCTAGGGGAAACAAATTTGAGATTTTAAAAAAATTCTGAAAGATGTACAATCCCTGCAATTAGGAAACAGAAATACTGGTACATAAAACAAGCAGAGAGGGGTCTTGTGTGCAAATTGCACATTAGAGTTCAAAACTTGTATCTGAATAATGCAATACCCTTTTACCTTTCAAAGATACATTTTTTGTTATATGTTGAAGATGTTGTATCAGTTAGGTGGACAAAATTATTTATTTACAATAAATTTTATTTGTTGATAGTAAAGGGTGATTTTACTACCTCAAATAGGTTATGTTGATAGTAAAGGGTGATTCACTACCTAAACTAGGTTATAATTCATTATCACTAGCTATTTAAAATCAGTTATCATAAACTGTTTCGACTCTTGTAAACAACCTGACTGTAAACATTCATATAATTTATAATTCAAATTTAAACTTTTTTAAAGAAAGTTGATCATAATTACTGGATCTTTGAGGGTAAAACCATAAGGGAGTATTCTTTATCTATGGTAACACTCAAGAAATAAATGAAAACGGTTAGGGGGGGACCTACCTTTTTAGTTTCCATTATTGATCACTCCACTAAATCATAAGCTTTAAAATGACACCTTAATCGTAAAAATTTGTTAAGTGGGAGCGGCCGGACGGTTGAAAAAAGCATGTTACAAAGAAACCCCTCATTGTATTCAGTAACGACTATGTGGAGTAACATAAATTAAACTTTTAAAATTATATAATCCTAGCAGATTACAAAGTCCTTCGTACGGGGTCGGCATATATAAGTATAAAATGCTTATTGCAGTTATAGGAGAGGACACGGTTTAAGAAAATTAGTTTCTTTTAATTTATACTGTACTAGCTATACCCGCGGGCTTTGCCCCGTTTAGCTTATTAATTTTCAAGATAAGCTCGTTCGCTTGGCTCAATCACGTCCTGGTTGAAGTTCGTTCGCTACGCTCACTCACCTTTAGGTTGGAGCTTGTTCGCTGCGCTCACTTGCCTTCAGGCTAACTCGTTCGCTACGCTAACTCGCCTCCAGGTTGAAGTTCGTTCGCTACGCTCACTCACCTTTTGGTTGCAAATTAGCTGTTGTCATAAATTTAAAAAAAATAATAGTGCTGACCCTGTTGGTAATCCTTGTAACTTTAATGCTATTGAAAATCATAGGACAGAACCAACTTGTTTAATTGAAACAGCTGTTAAGATTCATTATCTATATAATTAATACGCTACATGAAACTTTGTCGGTTGAACTCCTCCGCCATTTCTTAACCGATTTTATCCATTGACGTCTCATTGGAAAGAGCGTGTAGCGTAGATTTGCAAACTGGCCTTACATTTTTGAAAACGTCCCTTGGGCTCTGCCCCAGTGGCTTTGAAAGTTCCCATGTTATCCTTATGAAGAACATAATTGTTTACATTTTGATCAGCTGTATAATTTAATTGCTGTTATTTATTTTTCAATTCAATTAAACGCATAGGGTACGTTTATTTACTATTTGAGTTTGTGTAAACATAACCCTCAAGACGGATCGTGTTAGTATGGTTGTATCTTAAATTTGTGTATTTATCGTTGTTTTGTGTCGCTATGACGGATCATGTTAGCATGATTGTAACTTAAATTTGTGCATTTATCGTTGTTTTGTGTAGCACATTTTTTGCTTAATTTTTATATAAGCAAATTTGTTTATTTGTTGTTTTTTTCTTTTAAATGCCTCCGACGCGACGACAACGAAACATAGACAGGAGGCGTAATCGTGATAACGACCGCAGCTACAGAACAGTGGCGCTTAATAGGCTTAACTCATCACAGTTAGCACCTTGACCTGACGCTGGACAATGTCAACTATTAGGTTACAAATGCGCCCTAACACTACCTCAAAACGACATTTCGTTCCCGATTGGCCCTCTATCAATGAATGACCTGTGTTGCCTGTACAGCGAGGCATTTTGAGAAGGAGAAAACAGACCGGAATGCTTTAGGTTTATCAATAACGAAGATAAACATGGTCTGAGCTACACACCGGTAATCTTTGAGTTGACTCTTTTAAAATCATTTTAAATATGACTGTTATTCGTTTTGAAATAACTCCTGTAATACTTTGCAATTGCTCGAATCCGAGCATCATGTACACTACCCAGACAGCACACTTTATCCCAGGGACATCCCATAGTAGTCCCATATGTCCTGAGAATGTCTCGGGATATGTGCGCTATCCCCAGGATATCCCGCAAAATCCCGGGACGACTACGAAATCCACAGGATATCCTACAATATACCGTAATGTCCCGGGATTTGTAAGTTAACCTCAGGATATCCTGTAAAGTCCCGGGATATGTACGAATGCCATAGGATATCCCAGAATGTCCCATGACATCCCGGGACATACAAAATCCACTGGATATCCTGTAATGTCCCGTAATGTCCCGGTAACAAACTGAAGAAAAAAAATACTACCACTGATGAAATGTACAGTATATCTAAATTTAAATGTTCAACAAGGCCAATATATAATAATTTGTTTTTTTCACTAGTGCTTTCAGAAACTTGGTTTCCATCTTCAGGCTGTGTTTACACTAGTACAAAAAGTAAAGATTTAATTACTCAATAAATTAATTTTAAACAAAGTTAAAACAGATGATTTAAAGGATATTGGAAAAATAAAAAATAATATTAGAAAAATTAATCTTTTGAATTTTGGATATGTTACAGTGTTGTTCTTGATGTAATTATTTTCAGTAATTCCGAATTTATAATTGGACCGTCTTCATTATTTAACAAATAATTTTGGTGGGTTTTTTTTTCTAAAAATAAGATTCCCACGCATTAAGATGTTGAGGTTTTATAATTTATTTTAAAAGTTTAAGGTTTCCCAGATTGAAAATATGTCTTGTTAATACTATGGCTAGCAAGGGTTGACTTTACTTTACTGACATATTACTACCACTGAGTTCAGGAAAACTAGAGTTCTATCATAGTTGTGTGGAATGTGAATTTAATTCTAACTTTAAATTAATAAAACAACAAAAAACTAATTTTAATCATATAACAATCAATTATTACAGTGCTAATCTAATGGTGATTAAATAATCTATATTCAAATACCAGTATCCTCTCCAACTACCAGAAAAACAATTCAACTACTTCAGGCCTAAACAGATCAACAGAATCATATATATAGCCTATACTGTAGTATCAAAAATATTTTAAGTATTGCGACCATTGCAACTGTCGGCTACTCTTTAACCACTTGAAAACACCTATAATCAACAAGCGCAGATAGCTCAGGAGGTAAGGTAAGAGGCTCACAAGGCGAAGGTACCAGGTTCGAAACCCGTCTGGGCCAAAAATTTTTTTCTCGTTTTTTTCTTCAAAATTTGTGTTTATTAACTATTTAATCAATTTACTAAACTTATAATTAAGCTTTTCATACTAAATCTATATTATTTTGTATTTTTTATGTTCAGGCCCAGACCACACTTTATCCCAGGGACATCCCATAGTAGTCCCATATGTCCTGAGAATGTCCTGAGGACTACCCTGGGATGACCTCGGATGTCCCACGGATATGCGTGTGAGCTTATCCGTAGGACATCCCCGGGCGGGGACATTAGGCATTCCTGTGGATATCCTGTGATATCCCAAGTTGACCATAGGACCACTATGGGATATCTTGCATATCCTGTCGCAATATCCGTGGGATGTCCTGAGGAGAAAGTGTGCTGTCTGGGTAGTTTCCTTTTAAATATGAAAAATCATAAGGTTAACATGGGAAACTCCAGAGCCACTGGGGCGGAGCCCGAAAGCCCGATCAAAATAAAAACTACTTAGTTTTCCTATTTAATGCCCAAAGAATCGGTGTACCAAATTTCAGCCTCCTAGGTAAATGGGAAGTGGGAGAATTAGTCATGAGTGAGTGAGTGAGACAGTGAGGGCTTTGCCTTTTATATATATAGATGCTAGTATAGCATATCTACCATAGCCATAATGTTCTACCATTGCACATAAACCATAGAAACAAGTAAAATTCTCATTATGTACCACAGATTTTTGTTGTAGTTGGTTCAAATTAGCTGTTGTCATAAATGCAAAAAAATAATAGTGCTGCACCCTGTTGGTAAACCTTATAACCTTGTTTATGCTATTTAATATCATCGAACCAACTTGTGCAGTTGAAACAGCTGACAAAATTCTTTAATTATTCCTTAGAAATATAAATACATGGGAATTAAACTAAACAACCCCATGGAAAACGAAACATGGAAAACCCCAGAGCCACTGGGGCGGAGCCCGAAAGGATTTTTGAGATAAGAATATCCGTCTATTTGTTAATCGGGAATGTGAGCTATCATCATACCAAATTTCAACCCTGTCGGTTTAGTATTTTTTGCGTTTACTTGTCACAAACATCCATACATCCAAACTTTCTCACTTATAATTAGTAGGATAATAAAAATGTTTATTAGGGAATAAAAATTATCATCCATTGAAATCTTCTATTTAAATTGAACCTCTAACAAAGACTATTATTTACCTTAATTCAACTATGGTATATTTTTGTAGTGTTTACGTTTTTTATTTTTATTCAAGAGAACATTATTATAAGATTTTATAAAACAACTATAGTTATAGCTAATAAAAATAATGTATTAAATGGTAAAAAAGTGCTTAGAAACTTATTTCAAAATAAAAGTATTTTATTACAACCAATACTAAATAACTTATACAGCCTTAAAACCATGGTATTTATAAGCAATACAGTTTTGACACACAACTACAACTGACAGCTTGCAATAGACTATACACACTTTATATCGATTAGATACAGATTCTTTACTAATTAATTTACAATGTGTGAGAGGAATAGATTTAAAAAACTTTAGAAACACACTAATTGCAAGTAGAAGTGTAATGAGAAGTATTTTTGAGAAATTAGGTCAGGGTTATGTCCCACAAGTTTTCTTAGTAGTTTTACCAATCTAATAAAGATAACTTTGTTATTATCGAATGATATAATATTAACAAGTCATTCCCTATCATTCAAAATTAAAATATTTAATTGTTATTACAATCTTCCCACAAAAGATCCTCCTTATAATTGATATTATATTTTTTCTTTATTTTTTTATAAGCAAGTAGTTATTTTATAATAAGTTTTTTTTTTTATTGCTAGACTTAATCATATTAAAAGCAGATTACATGCAAATGAAGCCATACCATATAGTGACCCTTCAAATGGCAAGATGTAATTTTTGCGATCAAATAATATGCTGTTAAATAATGAGATCTATTCCTCAACCTTCCTACACAGAATACATTTTTTAGAAAATTCTTTATAGATTTGTTTAGTTTTATCTGTAAAGGTAACAACAAATAACACAACATAGGTAAATATATTAATCCACTCTACTACTTTCTTTTCACATTAAGTACTTTTTTGAGTAATTTTTTGTGTTGTAAGTCTGTTTGCATTATTCTACATCTGGCTGATAAACAGATATAGTTCCTAGAAATCCTAAGAATCAAAATGTTTCTGGTCCCTGAGAAAGGTCAATAGAGTTTAGAGGTAGCTTATTTTAAAGGTTTGGAACTAGAAACTATAGACCCAGCTATCCTTGATCATCACTCATCTGGCTGAGAAACCAACTGATAGGTATTAACAGGTAAAAAACTATCAATATATATATATAAAAAACTCTTCATTCATCATCTTCCTCAATGGGGCCCTAACTTGATTGGTGCGGAGCTGAGTTGAATGAATTTAAATACATAAGTGTAAGTGTGTAATGGTGTTTACATGGAATAAAAAATCCCCAACATTCCCCTTCAATCAGTGAGTTAATATTTCTACTTTGCCTTTGACTACAAAAGTCAATGGTTGCTGAGCTTAAAACCAGTCATGTCTTCAGTAAGTTGCCATGAAAAATATCAGTGCACAAATTTATATTCATACTATGACAACTCAAGCTATTTTTATGCAAGCATGGATTATATAATATTTATAGTCAATGATAATCACTTTACTTGATGGTTTATCGTCCTCTTTGATTACCTAGAAACAAATAATTTTTGAGCAGTAATTTTTTTTGGATAGCTCGTTTTCTGCTATATAGCTGTGAAATCAAGCTATATAGCCCATCATAGCAATTAAGCAGTTTTTTGAAGACGCTTTTTTGAACTTCTAGCTGAGCTATGTCTAGCTCTGATATATATATAGCTCTGCTACATACCGGTAGTGTAAACCCGGCTTTACTGGTCTACCTACCAAAGTTGAAAGTGTATTTAGATTTTGATTATGCTAAAATGTTACAACACTGTAGGTTCCCTGATTTATATAATCAATGGTTGATTTTACAGCCAATAGTGTGCAAGTTCAATCTACACACTATGAAATAAAAACTAGGTAACTTACTGTGACAAGGTGTACACTGTGGGATTGTCCCATATCCCATAGTGCATATCAGTTATGCATAATGCGGTAATGAAACCACATTTTATCAGGTACTATGGAACAAATTCAATTAGGAACTGTAGGATTAGGCACTATGAGACTCCAAGCGATCACAATAATATTTTATTTTATCCAATCCAGAAGTTATAAAATTTTTCGATTTTATGTTGGATGTTGGTCAACACGATATTTAACAGCAACAGCTGTTTCGAGTTCTTTCTGCTTCTGTCAACCAGTTAGTTATGCTCGCAAGTTGCATTATACTAACTGATAGACTATTAACTAATCGAAAACACTAACAACAGCAACATCATGAAGTCAGAGTTGCTATTTAAAATTGGAAAGTTTAACTTTGCAGGATATATTTGTGTGTGCGATTATTTGTAAGATACGCCTACTTAGTAATGGAGTTAAAGTGAATCCTGGACTACAACAAATATTGAAAATGTCAATATTTGTTAAGGATCCTTGTGGTTTCATTTGTATTACTCTTACCTACATTGCAGTATTTTATGCAGATTATGTAGTCATACGATGGGTCATCATGCAAACCATGCAAGACAGGTACGATTTCATATGTTTCAAGTAGGCCTATTTTAAATGGCAAGAAGAAGTTAAAAACGAAAACATTAGGCTATCAGGCCTAGGCCTACAAAGATTTTGCTTTTTTATGGCATGTCTACACACTTGTAGGTTGGATAGTCAAGGGATCAGATTAGGACTTTTTATAGGCTTATAAACCAAACTCATAATTGGATTTTCTAGTGGGGCCTTGCTGTAGTCAGGGTCCCACCAAGTTACATGTATAACTTACTGTCCCTTGATATTTAAATTGGATGAGTCTGTACTCAGCGATTCATGAACTATAGGTGGGCTGACAAATAGTGACCTGCGTGACGATTTGTTGCTCATGTAAGAGAATGTTGCTTTCTAAGCGGCCACCCTATAGCCTATATATTGTTTAGTAGCCTAATTGGTGTATTCTGTGAAATAAATAAATAAATATATCCAACTGCTATTTCACTATGTTATAACCACTGAGTTGTCTTGCTGGGCCGATAATCAGTCAGTAATCTGGCTTTAACGGTAAGTTACTCTTTTTAACAATTTGAAACTGAATCCAGCTGTCGCTGATCATTAGCCTACCTGCTAATAAATGACCCTAATGAAAAACAGCTGATCGTAGTCAGAAACAAAGCTACAGGTACAAACTCCATTCTATATCCTTGCATTCGCTTTTAGCTTAACCCTAGATCTGGCGGTCATTTTATTCACCAGTGGCGGTTATATATATATATTTTTGGTTATATATATTTTGGCGCTTTTGTAGTGGTATCATATATTTTGCCACAGAACATTTATTTGTGAATATAAGTACACACATATATATATTTTCTATTTCAGTGATGAATTTAGAATATAATAATATAAAAATATTCTTTTCCTAGCAATGCGTTTAGGCGTAGTAGCAAAAGGCTTGCAAATTTTTGGATTATGCAAATTAGAAATTTCAAAAGCAACCCACAAGAAAAACACAAAATAATTTGTTTACACATTTTATCTAAATGTAAAGTTTGTGTGAAATATGATTCCCTACGTAGAAATATCAATGATTTTTAAATACTCATAAAAATAAAATTATAAAAAAATAAACTCTTCATACATATTTTCTTTTTTGAAAAACTAACAAATTTCTTTTTGTCACTTAGGAAATAATAGAATGCATCAACAAAAAATGAAATGATACTGTACAATAGGTAATAAAAAGATCTTTCTGAAAATATATAGTTATATTTAGTTGAATTCTAAAATGTCGGAAAAATTTACGTCAGAATGTAAAATTTTGAAGATTTTTTTACAAAAACATGATATTTATGACATTTTAAAAAGCAAATAAAATTTTTACAATCAACCTTATAGATCACAGGGAATTGTAGGGAATTTATTGTAGTTTCAGAATATGTACTAATATTGTATACAATTTAATTGACAATCACCAAAAACAGCTGTTTTTGTAGTCAGGTGACCAAAACTTTCCACCGCCAAAATCTATTTTGAACTCTCTAGTATTTCAAACTACCGTTTCTCGCTACATAATACTCACTCAATAATGTTTTATGCATGAAAATGAATCCTCAGAATCTCATCTTTCCAATGGTATAAGATTTATTGCGTTTTAAAACTGTTTTCATATTTTAGTAATAGAAAAACCCGACCCATGTCATCTTGGTCTATAATCGACCAGCGCCACTGAGAACTCACGTTTTAGTGGTCGAAAATCGACCAGCGCCAGATAGAGGGTTAAAACATTTTTGACAGCATAAAAAAATTGAAGTAAACAAAGACTACGGAACAGTAGGCTACATGCAATATGTTAAAACTAGGCTACATCACAGGGAGAAGTAAGGAACAGAAGAAACGTCCATTGTACACTTTTATAAGTGGTGTCTAGCACTAGTACAAAGTCTAGAGCAAAGACCTCATGTTGGCCTACTACAACACGCACGGTAGAGGAAGACCCTGTGCCCTGTACGATAGGGTTTACCACACAATGCACCATTCGGGCTCTTCCTTGCTCGTCACAAGTGTACTCCCAACATGACATAGTAACTTAGAGCCTAAAGCGTACGGTTTTCCCATAAGTGTGTTTCCTCTTTAACTTGATTTAAGTTGATTTTCTCCAATTTTTGTTACTCTGCTTAAGTCTTAAAGCAAAATGTTGAAGTCCCCATTTAAATGAAGTAAAATCAAATTTCATGTGTGTTTTTGATGTGTTGACTAAGCTTACCGTTCTGCACAGTTGAAAGTGATGCCTTGTTTGCAGCCAATAGCCAATTTGAGAACTGTGCCTTAATAGGGGCCCTAGATTAATAATTTTATTATTATTATATTTTTATTATTTCAAATAGACAGTACAAATATTATAAAATGAAAATTTCGTTTTTTGCAGCTTGTGGGCCCCGTTCCACGTGGTGCTATTCAACACAGTCATATTTATGCTGTCGCTGTCTCACCTTAGAGCCATGTGTTCTGACCCTGGAGCCGTGCCTTTGCCACAGAACAGGATGGACTTCTCTGACATACATTCAGGTTTGTGTTTTAATAATTTGGCCAGGGTCTACTGAAATTAAATGTGTACACATTGCTTGATTTACATAGTAGCCTAATCAGTTAAGCTCTAGTAAACGTGTGAAATTGATACTGTATGTTGAGTCAAGGTTTGGAATTTTTAGCTCATCTGGAAATATGTAACTGGAACATAATTAAACTTAGGAACAATGCAAATCAGCATAACATCAGTAACTTAGTTTTTTTGGAAAACCTTAATTTAAAATAGTCAAATACTCCAAAAAATGTTCCCTTTAGTTGACAAGTTCTAAAACATTGTTCTTCTACTTGCCATCATAAACAAGGTTCGTTTGGGAAACATTTTTTTTAAATAATGCATGTTTGAAAGTGCTTTGTTTTGTTTTCATAATAACTACCTAACTTAATCCTATAATCGCATGAAAGAAATAGATGGTCACATGGTAGGCCTATTAGTTTACAGGATGATTTTCCCTATTAAAACTGTCAGAATTTTTCTTACTTGATTCCCGTACGTAAGACTGGCCAACATCTATATCCTGGTAAATATCCAACACTGGCTACAGAAAACTGCAAACAGTCATTTTGTTTTAGGTATTAAATTATTTAATAAGCTTCATCCCCAAGTCAAGTCCTTGCCGCTAAGTGTCTTTAAAAGAAAATTAACTATGTGGCTTTCATCTCACCCATTTTACAAAATTGAGGAATTTTTTGAATGTGATCTCATTTTTTGCTAATGTTAAATGTTTTTAAGTTAGGCTAGGATTTTTATTACTGTAACTAATTTTCATATATTTCATGTTCACTATTTTGATATGTTTTTTACCATATTCCATCTGTGATATTGTTAGAAATTTTGTTTTTAAGTTAGGCTAGGATTTTTTACTGTAATTAATTTTCATATATTTCATGTTCACTATTTTGATACGTTTTTTTACCATATTCCATCTGTGATAATGTTAGAAATTTTGTCCCTCTATGTTCATTGTTACATCTGTGATAACCATTAGCCTTTTTAAGAAAGACCCACTATTATTCACTATTTTTCATAATTTAAGTTTGTTATGTTTGCCTATTTTTTTATTAAAAAAAAAAAATTTTAAACCTGTTAAATGTTAAACTAAGGGCAGCCTATATTTTGGAATTTTCATGTCAAATTTTTTAATTATAAGTATTGCATCTTATATCTTTACAATAATAATGACGATGTCAATTACAATAATGTATTGTTTAAAGACTGAATAAATGACTATTCTTGACTATTCTTGACTATTCTATTCTAGTTACTTATTTCTAAAATGAAAAACCTGGCTTACAGCTACTTTTTAATAACTAACCTTTTTGTACAATCTATAGGCTAAAACAAGTTTCATAATTTGGGCCTAAGTACATTTTCTATGATACAATGACTCAATGATTGAATAACGTTTTGTGCTGGTTTTGGTTCAGTGATTGTGTGCTATGGACTTTTCACAATTTTATGTTGTGTTGACTTGGTTTTGGATTATTTTTTATTTTGTGTAGGTTCCGAGTCTTTGCTACAAAATGAGGACTGGACTGTGTGTACGAGGTGTGAGACATACCGTCCTCCGCGGGCTCACCATTGTCGGATCTGCAAACGATGCATCCGCCGCATGGATCACCATTGTCCCTGGTAAATATCCTGGATTCACTTGGCCATTGATTGTCAGATGCTTATTTCAACACAGAATCCTTGATCTGTAGCCCATAACATAACAAAAACGTGATGTCACATGGTCAATATTCTGTTACCATTTATGTTGCCCTAATACTGGCTTGGGATTGACTAGTCTGTGTTGACAGGATCAATAACTGTGTGGGGGAGCGCAACCAAAAGTACTTTATCCAGTTTCTAGTCTATGTTGGACTACTCGCCCTGTACGCGATCGCTCTGGTTGTCACAAGCTGGCTTAGGGCGTGTCCGCAATGTCCTACGGAAGTCAACCTGAAGCAGGCAAGAATGTAAGTCGAATCATCTTGTGTACTGTATTTGTAAAAAGAACTTAAGAAATATTTGCAAAATGAAATGTTGTAAAATGCAACTTTTTGTTGTCAATATTATATGTCAATATGTGTCCCTGCAATATTATAAACTAACTTTCAGCACAGAATAGAGACCTATCAAGAAGTCTCACCGAGCTAGTAGAAATATTGTCTTTGAATCTGCTGGTGTCTAAATCAGAATACAGAAGCACTGTTGCCACTCTGATTTTGTTCATGTAACCGGTAAATGACACTTATATTATCAGCTGATATCAACGTCATTTTCCTCTCTTTTTGCTCTGACATCATATCCTACCATCCAGCGAGATAGGCACCTTTAGATTCTGGTTTAAATAAATAATTAATAAAATTTCTTTATTAGCCAGCGTTTCTCTGATAAATATCAATGTTTCCACACAACTTTTGTCATTAAACTACTGTACTTACAACCAAAGATTTTTATCTTTTAGGGACATTTTTAACTTAAATGCATAAAGGTATTGCTGGATGCAACAGTTTAGACAGTACCTATTACATGTAAAGGGTTTTTGATGTTTTTATTCCGGCCTAGTAAGAATTCAGGGTTGGATCTTAATTCTGTGCTTAAAAACATCAAAAGATCGCTTGCCATAGATCATCTCACTCCATTCCATATTCCTCTTGCATTTACATCCATCTTACAATAGATACCCTGGTGGCATTGCTATGAAAAAGATGTAACAATGATAATAATAAATGTACAATAATAGTGCTTCATAAAACATCAAACTGTTATGTTAACAACTTTTTGGAAGCATGAAAACGTCATTTATTTATCCAGGCCTTTAAAACCTATTTTAATACTATATCCAATTTAGGCATATCTTAAGAACAATTAAGTTATTGTAAAAAATCTCTACAAGTAAAAAGTTTAGATTGTTCTTGAAAAGCCAATGTTCTGCTCTTCTACAAGGTTTGTTTCTATTGGGAGCCTTGGAAAATCACAAGTAAGTGCAATCTAACATACCTAACATAACATCTAACATAACACATAACCTCTCTTAGCTTTCACTTTTATTTCAAGGTTCTTCCAGTCTCAATAAAGCATTAAATGGTAAATTTAAGTCTCTTATTCAAAATAATTAACTATTGAAAAAAAATAATAAAAAGTGATTTAAAACGTTGAAAGTGGACATTTCTTCATGGTTTGATGTTTATTTGTTCACAAACAGACTACACTGTGTCATCCTGGTGCTGGAGTCAGCACTGTTTGGTATGTTCGTCATGGCCATCCTCTACGATCAGCTGGAAGCTTTGGCAAATGACGAGACTACTATTGAACAACTTCAGGTACAAACTTGGATTGTAGAAATAATTGTCTATTCCTTTACCGTCAGATCAAATCTAGTTTGGTAAGGTATAATAGAGCACAGATGATTCCATCCTTGATAATCGTAAAAGGTAAATGAGCCGAGTATTTTGACAACAGTGAACAAAATCCTAAATTTAGCTGTCTATTTCCCTGTTGACCTTAAACATAAAGATGGGCTGATTCGGTAAAACCTACCTCAATATACTTATATTATGTTAATTTTGAGTAGTTGTCAACTCTCTATCTCTATACAGTAGACACTTGCTGATCCAGCACATTCAGGCCTTCGGTGTTGCCGGATTATTGAACGTTACCTGAAAAACACCGTTATTGCAAGAATAGCAGGATTATCGCAAAGTAAAGAATTCAACTGACATCTGCCCATCTCTATTAATGTCTGAACGATTGCTGCCAACATCTGAACAATTGCTACCGACGTCTGAATGATCTTTTTCAATCTCTAAACACTCCCGATATGTGCCGATTTTGTTACGATAACTTAAAACAAAACGGCATCCAAGAATACAATCTTTTTAACTTTAAGGTTTTAGATCTTTTATTGAACTTAATACTGAACAAACACTCCATGAAAACTACTATCATTACAAAGGGAATTTCTCAAGTTTTTCTTAGATACACCTATAATTGCTCAATGTGCTGTCCATTTGCAATGGAACAAGTTTCTAATGTATGTTACAAGTTGGTCCATACACCGGCTAGCTGATTAAAATCTACTCTTGATTTAACTTTTGAAGTATCCTAGTTGCAGTCTGTAGGGTCTTAATGTCAATTATTTAAGTAAAGCCTTGCAAACTGTAGATTTTGCTACTGGTAAGCCAAGTGTGCAGCCTGCACCATGTGGAGGCCTTTGCTTAAAGCACTGTCTAACCCTAGCTACTGTGTCAAGAATTGGGCGACCACAACTTTTACGTTTCAGCAGTCCCTCAGAGTTTTTAATTAATTGATGATACTACTGTCAGCTGATTTTGGTGTGTTGGCAGATTTTTCCTAAAACACCAGAAAAACTCACGTTTAACATGTATCACAGTTACACTAGAGTAATAATTATACACAAAAGGTTTTCTTGAATTGTAATATTTTTTAATACAATGTAAACATATCCAAGAAAATAGCAAGGATGAATACTAAACAGCTGATTATAAAAATTTTAAACATGCTCTTTAATCACATGTCAAAATCATTAATGTTACGCCTCTTTCACACGAAGCGGTGCGCGCCGTACGGCGTCCGCCGCGCGGCGCTGCGCCGGACAAGCGTGTGTCTTCACACTAGTACTGTTTCGTGCGGCGCGCGCCGTACGGCACTCCTAAATATTTATTATTTTCTGTTCAGTTGTGGCTTTTAAATGAATACTCCACTTAAAAGTTCAAATTAAATGAATAGGATAATTTTAAATATAATAAACTAGTGCACCTGTTGCTCGAATTTGAGCAATTGCAAAATATCAAAGGAGTTTTTTTACGAATAACTGTCACTATTTCCGTTGACGTGTGAGAGTCAACTCAAAGATAATGTAACCAATCACTCCACTCCAGTTATCGAAACTGGAAACGAACTCACTCTTAAAACGAACGCTCACTCCACTCCATCTATCGAAACTGAAAACGAAAACTCTTGTGTGTATCATGTGTGTACTATGAACAGCTGTAATTAATACAAATTATTCGTCCGTTTAACTAAACAAAATCTTGTCTTCGTAAGATATACATTGGGATTTTGATGGCCTGAGGGGCAAAGCCCGAGGACTTTTACTACAGGAATTGGTGAAAGGGGGCGTGTACACAACAAATACTTAATTTTGACACATCGTTTGTAAAAATCGGTTCATTATTAACGGAGGAGTAGTATTTCGTAGAAATCACCTTCACGTATTATATATAAGTATTCGTCATATCTGAAAATATTGTATTCTAGAAGTTAAAAAAAAATGTTTCATTACGTATAAATTACTAAATTATTAATTTAATACTAAATATTCTCCTCTAATTATTAAAGGAAAATTTTAGTTTTAATACTTTAAGTTGGTCGATTTGCATGGGATTAACATAAAAATATATGTTTTGTAATAACTTTAAATATATTATTTTCCGATACAACGATATATAATTTCTTAATTAACTGTTGCACCCTCTTGGTCAGGTAGTTTGCCTAAAATGAGACAGCGTAGGGGTTGGGCCGTGCGGCGCGCGCCGCACCGTGTGAAAGCTCCCATAAGAACCAATGCACCTTCACCGAGTTGTCCGGCCTGGACGCCGCGCGGCGCTGTCGTCCGGCTGAAGGTGCATCCGGCGGTAACTCGCACGCCGTGTGGCGAATTCGCCGCGCGGCGCTCGCCGGACATAGTGTGAAAGGACTCATATACTCCCATAGCCCTACGCCGGATCCGGCGGGCGCCGCACGGCGCGCGCCGCGTCGTGTGAAAGAGGCGTAAGATAAGAAATAAGTGAGATACATGACATGATAACCTGATGAATCATTTATAAACACCCTTTATTTCTACTTTTAGTCAAAGAGCTTGACATCTCAGCCACTTTATGTATCAATCCCATAGCAATATTATGTCAACTTCTATACTAATGTGTCATGTTTTGTCAATTTTTAGTCGGGCAGTGGACGGGGGATGAGTATTCACAAGATCATCATGTCCCAGTTATGTCGTCTGCCGTGTTCTGGAAGACAGTCAGGCACAGGCAGTACACATTCTGTGTGAGGAACAACCGAGATTATGGAACAATCAAGCATACGTTCTGTGTAGAACAACCCAGGTGCTGGAACAGTTTAACGCAAATTCTCTGACGAGAATCCAAGACAGTAGAACCATTGGGTGGTGTTACAGTCCTGATATTTCTGTTCTTGCATACGATAAAACAGCACTTTTACCATCCAAATTTAATGTACTATATCTATTTTCCCTTACCTTTTTATACTTAATTATTGCGTCAAATTTAATCTCAACTGCTTGTTAACTTAGACCGTGTGGTCTGTGATGATCAAAAGATAGTAAAGTAATGCTACACTGTAAGTTACAATAGCAAGTCAATGGCTTGGCCAATCTTGAACCAGCAATTTTAGTCTTATCAGCTAAAGACGCTATCACCGATATTCCATGTTCAGTAAGAATAATGATTTTTTTCATTGAGACCTTTGGTTATTTGAACTCAGTTTACAAATTTTAAGTAGCATTATTCAATTGTTATCCTTTAGCAACAAGATGATTTTCACGGGTTAGTCTACAATTGTGTTCCATTAAGTAAATCATGAATACAAACTTAAATTTTGTACATGTTCTGGATGGATAGTAACAAACATCACGTATATATTTGTCGTATTATTTGCTAAAAATGATGCATGTAATTTTCATTGTCGTATGTGTAATTGAGATGTACGATACAGACATATTAGTTATAAGGTAAGATAGATCTAAATTATTTGTACAAAATACTTTTAATCGGCAATTGCTGTGTTGTAATATAAATTTAGCACATGTATATATTGATTCATTTTTTTAAGTTTTGTCGTTTATGAAATATTACATTTTATTTTTTATGTTATTTGTTAAATTATTTACTTGCTTTAAGCTTAAGTATGTATTTGTACATTGTAAAATATGTATAGCCTAGTGCTTTATTATGGATAGTGATTTTAAATTTGTGATTCTTGTATCATGATCAAATGTATGAATTTTATTCTGATAAAACTAAATGTGCATTTTTAAAAATTGGTCAAATTCTGATTTTTATAGGCTGTTTAAATTTTTAAAAGTTAAGACTTGCAAAACTCATCCAAATAAGTATAAAAATCATAGCTTAATTTTAAAGTGTGTTTGTATACTAGAGCTACATTCTACCAATTTTACGTAAAGGCATTCATGACATGCATTTAGCTTCATTTTATTGGTGAGTAAAAAATACTGACTAACAATTTTTCTTTTCCATTTTCAAATTTTCTTCTTTGCATGTGTCAAACCAATGTTGTAAATTCATTGTTAACAAAACAAAATGATATAACCTAAAATAAATGGGATGGTGAATAATGTAAATAATACAATTCAAATGCACAACTATTTTTATTTATAATACTAATGCCAAATGAAATTTTAGTGAGATTGTTCTGAAACAAAACAGAAGTTTAAGAATTAGTGGTTTTTATTTGCTTCTTTTATGGGGCATCCAAGTGCTCTGAAATCACTTTTACTACAAATTATGAGTTATGGTTTTCATCACAACACAAATTTTATTTTCATCACTCCGTAACGAAAGTAACTATTTTCGATAACAGCTGACATCAATGAAAGTAGTCGTTTTTCAAGCTCTAATTTAGGGCGAGGGAAAATCGATCAGCTTATTTTCCCTCGCTCTAAATTTACTTTCCCTCGCTCTCAATTAGTTCTTCATTTATTCACTACGTGCGCTAGTGTTTTGTTACAGTTTAATTTAATGATTTGGAACAGCTGTTTTTATTGTTGCTTAACACGTTCGCTGCTACGGACGTTCCGGAACGTCAGCCGGGCCACGGCGCCAGGAGCTAAGAACGTTCCAGAACGTCACCGTTCATTGTTGTTTAACGTTGCTATGGATAAGCCAGCACGTCACAAGCGTTCTATATTTCTTTGCAGCTCGTACGGACGTACTTTTCTGACAATAAAAAATATAGTTTCCCAAATCACCACCAGGGTCGTTTGGAACAGGGCTTTGTTTTACCTCTTTCCTGCTAGATAGCGACACTACTTTACTGACTGTAACCTGGGTAGTGCTGCTATCTATCAGAATCACTTAGTACTATATCCAAAGCCAGTTTTATTGCAGAACATTGCCATCCAGTATAACTACTGTTGTTTTTACTGTAATTCAGTGTATCGGTGGCAATGTCACGCAGCGGCCGAGCGTTAGTTCAGCAACTGGCGCCGTCCCGGCATCTAGCGCTCAGCAGCGAACGTGTTAATCTAAATCTATACAGAAACAGGCATTAGTTTGTTTTGCTGTGTTTTTAACATAATGCATGTTTGGGATTGCTCTAAGTATGCATAACAATACTGAAGATTTTTTATGAAAACAGCTTAACTTATCACATTTAACCAGATAAATCACGGGAAGGATAAGAAGAGGAATACAGAAAGCCCATTAGACACTGGTACATATTACAAAATGTTAAGTTAATGAACGTGACGAAGTATTTATTAATACATTATTTATCTAAATACTCTACAATTATGAAACCATATTATGTAAGTTGTGATTTTCAATGATAAAGAGTAGTCTAAAACTATTTTAATCCTACTGAAATATGATATTCTGAATGTGTGCATTTTTGCGTCGTGATGAAAAGTATCGTTTATAACTCGTACCAAAAGCTTTTTTCCGACACTTGCTCCATTATTCCCGTCCTCGGCTTTGCCTCGTACGTGAAAATAACTATCACCTGCTCAGCTTTGCTTCGCACGTGAAATTTGGTTTTCCTGTGTTCGGCTTTGCCTCACACATGAAACTTGAGCGCGCGTCGGAAAATGCCGCTTTCGGTCCTAGTAATGGAATATACTATTTTCTGTTTACATTTAGATTGCTTAACAGTAGAAACAGTTGATTTAAACATTAAAAAATGGTTGCGCTAAACTGATTGAGGGCAAAGGAAAATAAATTTAGAGCATGGGAAATTATCTTAATGTCTTTCTCTTGCTCTAAATTAGAGCTTGGGAAACAATTTTCATCATTCAGAAAGTAGCTATTGTTGACAACAGCTGATATCAAAATTAATCAGCTGTATGTATGTGTTCTGTATGTATTTGTTTCCCAAGCTTGGACAGAGTTTGTGTTTGCTACAAAAAAACCTTGAAATTCTCGTTTTTATGTTGTTACAAATGTTTGCTTTAAGCCATTTGTTTTATTATTATTAAGATAGCAACTTCTTAAAATAATTACAGTAGAACCCCGGTTAACACAAATAAAGCGGGAAAGCCGTTTCAGATAACCAATTTTTCGGTCAACCCGTAATATGCTAAAAAATAGCCTATGTATTACCACAGTGTGTAGAAAAATGAATTTAAAACAATATCTATATAATACAGTGTTTTAGATACAGAAGTGTTAGAACGGGTTAGAAAATACTTTAAACAAACAACTGAAGTTGCTAAAGCATTTTACATTGCGTATTATGTATATTAGCTTTATATTTTTTTCGGTTAACGGCGGTTCTACTGTATGATTATTTAAAAATTATAAATTATCAAAATCCTTAGAAAAATAGGTTTGATTTTAGCAAGCTCTGTTGTACTAGAGTATTTTATGTTTGCATCGTGATGAAAAATATTGCTGCAAATTTGTACCGAAAGTGATTTTCTGGCATTTGCAGGTCCGCAGATTTAATGTGACAGGCTATTTCCACCACCTATCTCTCTTCATTACCATGGATTTATTCACTTTGCGCCCCTCAAACACACCCAAAACCTCTTGCAGCGGTGGGCCCGGCACATTTAATAAAGCGTCCCTGCGTACTTGCTACAATTATTCCCATCCTCGGCTTTGCCTTGTATGTAAAAATAATAAACATGATTGGCGTCATATCAAAGGGAAATTTTGTGTTCGGCCTTACCATACCTCAAACGGATAAAGTTTGAGCACGGATCGGGAAATGCCACTTTCAGCACTAATAATAAAATATACTCTTCCTTTAATCAGCTACAGCTAAATAAAATCATGACAGATCATACAAAATTGCTAGAATTTCTCTGGAGACAGAGTGCTGAAAATGTTTTTATTTTTTGCTTAGTTTACTATCATTTTTTACATTCCATTTTTTGTTGTGAACTTTAACTGGAATAGCAAAACGTCGTCACTACTGGACAGATGTTTTTAAAACTGAATTTTCATTAAAAAAATAATTACAGTAGACTACAGTACTGTACTATGTTTTTAATATTCCACAAATGAATGAAAAAAATATTGTCACTATTTAGGATCTTTACGAATTCTAAAATTCAAAAATTCTAGGGAAAATGTTTTTTTCTTTACAAAGTCTCTAATTTTATTCGTTTTTCCACTTTTGTACCAACCCTTGCCCTTTCAAATATGATGATTAATGTGTTTCAAGTTAATAATTTATTATTAATGTTATTTGATTGTAGAAGATGCGAATGATATTTTGTGTAAACATATCACAAGGAATCATCCAATACATGTGTACTTGTAATTTTAATTTATACTCTTTTTTATATAAACTGAATAAACTTTTGTTCACATACAGTAGTTGTTTCTGCTTCTGAATCCTAAATTTGGTAATCTAATCTATTTAGTAATGGTACAATGCTTTGTAAAAAACATCCTCATAGAGTTATTTTCAAACAACGGTACACAGTTCTGGATGTAAAGGCAGTAATTGGTTACTGTAAGTATATTTCTCATCCTGCTGTAAATCTGAAGACTTCATGAAACTTAAACATCCAGACGTTTCATGTCCAGTTCTGTTTGTGTGCACTGACTATATATTTCCGTCCTATTTTAGAATTTCGGTAGTAATACCAATGAAAAAGCCGTTGATTAAAAACATCAGTGATTTATATCAGCTCAACTAAATTCACTCAAGTAAAAAAAACTGATGATAACTCTAATATGGGGATGGAATGTCTGGTTCTATCAATATTGTAAAGGATTTTAAGTAATTAGCTTCTTGTACAAGTGTGTGTTGTCACTGATTAAGAATTAAAGGGGTTGTTTAAATGTATTATTTACTCAATGAGATTAAGTATATCAGATAATCTATATATATAAAATCCAATGTATGTTTGTTTGTTTGTCCTTTATGGACTCAGGCTTTATTAAGCATTATTCAAGGATGGTTTGTGTGAAGTATGGTGCAGATCCGTCAAAAGGGCTCCGCCCCAGTGGCTCTGGAGTTTCCCATGTTAACCTTATAAGTACTCACTAGTAAACACGTTGCTCGAAATCGAGCAATTGCAAAGAAGTAAAGTAGTTATTTAAAAACAAATTAAATTCATCATAATTTCCGATGAGTTTAAAAGACTTTGAAATGAAAAATAACAGCAATTAAAATATACAGCTGATCAAAATGTAAACAATCATGTTCTTCATAAGGATAACATGGAAACTTTAACAGCCACTGGGGCAGATCCCAAGGGACTTTTTCAAAAATGTAAGGTCAGTTTGCAAATCTACGCGACACACTCTTTCCAATGAGACGTCAATGGATAAAATCGGTTAAGAAATGGCGGAGGAGTTCAACCGACAAAGTTTCATGTAGCGTATTAATTATATAGATATTTAAATGGAATTAAAGAATCTTAACAGCTGGTTCAACTGATCAATTTGATTCTGTGATGCTCAATACATTAAAAAGTTAATAGGTTTACCAACAGGGTGCAGCACTATAATTTTTTTAAATTTATGACAAAAGCTAATTTCCAACCAAAAGGTGAGTGAGCATAGCGAACGAACTTCAACCTGGAGGCGAGTTAGCGTAGCGTACGAGCTAAGCTGAAGGCAAGTGAGGGCAGCGAACGAGCTCCAACCTAAAGGTGTGTGAGCGTAGCGAACGAACTTCAACCAGGACGTGATTGAGCCATGCGAACGAGCTCATCTTGAAAATGAACGAGCTTTTGACATTATACCACATTACCACATTAGGACAGGACGACGTCTGTCGGGCCAGCTAGTCTTTAATAAATCTTACTAACATTATAAATGTGAAAGTTTGTTTGTTTGAAGTTCAATCACGCATTAACTACTGGACAGATTGGGCTGAAATTTTGCATGATGATAGCTCACATTTCCGATTCCGATATAGGAATATTCTTATCTCAAAAATCCTTTCGGGCTCTGCCCCAGTGGCTCTGTAGTTCCCCATGTTAACCTTATGAGTATTCATTTAAAGGGAATTAAAGAATTTAGTCAGCTGTTTCAACTAAAAAAGTTGGTTCTATAATATGAAAAAGTATTAAAAAGTTATAATATTTACCAACAGGCTGCAGCACTATTATTTTTTGCATTTATGAAAACAGCTAATTTGAACTACGCAGCAACAAAAAACTATGATAGGCAATGAGAACTATCAAAGTAGGATTGTTTACAGTTAAGTTTATGTTTTTTTAAATTTCATGAACAATTTGTGATATTTTGCGAATTTTTAATAATGTTTTTTCTCTGTTGTTAATGGAAAGTGGTAGAACATTGTGGCTATGGTAGATGTGTAATATGTAGTATACCGTAAATTTAAATAAGCAAATTTTATCAAACTGTGTCCCTCGCCCTCCCATTCAAACGCAAAGCTTTAGTATAACTGCAATAAGCATATTATGCTGATATGCCACCGCCGTACGAAGGACGGGTACTCTGCTAGTATATAATAAAATAAAATTATTGATGAAGCGTTTCTCATTACAACCATTGACTGTACACAGTCAATTCTGTGTTTAGTCAATGGTACAACTGCTTTTCAGAACAACCCTCTTCATATAATAACTAACAATAAATAAATATAACAAAATAGAAACAAGAAAATAGTGTACAATTTATTAATTTTGACTCTAAAAGATGGCAAGGCATATTTTTTGAGGCTAGAGGGGAAGTCGTTGTACAGCTTTACTTTGGGCCAAAGTACGAGAAGCTTCACCTTCCAAACACAAGCCTCACTCTTGAAAAGTGAAGCTGGAGACTTCCATGGCTGGTGCCTTGCTGAGAGACCTCCTCCCGGAAAGAGAGCCTCTCAAGAATGTACTGTGGCTCCTATAGGCCAAGAGCCTAGTGCACCATTCAGCATGTCATGATCCTGCAAACAGTGTCTACTGTTGTCATCCCTGCTACGCATCTGGGATGGCTCATAAGACAAGTGCAGTTGTGAGTCATAGGCATACAAATTAACTGTACAATGTTGTGCACTACACAGCTAGGAAGTTCTGCTGTATACAAATTGAAATTGAGTTGTATAATTGTTAACTTAGACAGCTGCCTTGAGGAATTCCTTGGTTTTTGACAAGCGGGGTTGATGTTTCACTCTCTAACTGTGTCACTTGTGTGGATGTTGTTGTTGTGTTGTTGGATGAAATTTGAATCAGCTGTTTGCTTCATTGATCGACCAAGAAATTGCTCTGTTGGAGAGAATCTCTCTGTCTGGTGATTGACATTGTCCAGTGTTCTAGCCTACTCAGCTAAGATCCGCATCCGCATCCATTGTCTTGATGTGAACCGACTACCATTATCTGTGGGAATACATTGAGAATGACCATATTGACAATAGACTGAAGGTTTTTAGAATCTTTAGAATTCTTACAGGTTATTATGGGATGGAAAATGCTTCCACTCACCTAGTAAAAAGTTCTGTTGCAACCGAAATTCCTGTTTTCTCCTGAGATACCCTATTCAGAATACAGTCCCATAAGATAAAGGGAAAAAATCCCCGAATCGTGTTTGTATGGCCACATTTCTCTCATGCTTATGCACTTGCCTTCTTTTGTAAATTTTGGTTCAGAGGGCTGGTGGTACAGGATAGAACATTGAACATAGTTCTTGATGTTGATGTCTCGATGCATAAGTACCCAGAAGAAAATTTGCTGAACCAAAGTGTAGATTTCTCATTGTCCTGTATGACCGGGATGCCATACAAATATGGTTTGGGTTTGCAAAATGATTCTGTCCAATGAAATACTTCATCTCTAATTTAGTGATAAAACTATCATTTTAGCCATTCAACACTCATCTGGCTCATCCTCACCTGAATTGTGTTTCTTCTATGCCATAGACAAAGTCTATGGTATTGCACACTAGAAAAAGGAGGTGTATAAAATTCCATAGATTCAGAAGATTCCGACTCATCAACATTCCAAACGGCAACGAATCGCGTTTACAATTCAAAACAACACTTGCGACTCTAATTTGGGTAATCTGTTGGTGTTTTATTCATGAAGAGGTTAGGTTAGGCGAGGCGGCCAGTAGGTGCTGCTCTCGACTAGTGGCGGCAGAAATAGTAATTACAGACCAGGCTTTATTACAACGCACGCGCGCCGACAAAGTATCGCAATTTCGTGCCGGTCGAGTTGAATTGTGCTATTTCATACAATATCATAGCCAGAGGTGGCTGTGACAATATACTTCGCCCAGTCGTCAATGTAGTGCGATCTTGAAAAATAATTTAACTTCCATGTCCATGTAGCATAAATAAATTGTCATTTGGACAAGGTGTTGTTACCACTATTAAGTATACCAGTCACTCTATATTACGGTACAACACGGACGATTTCTGTCAAAAATGTACAGTCAAATATATGGATTCAAAACTGCCATCTACATTTATTAAAATAATTTGTTCAGCAAATCGACCCCTAAATATATATTTATATAGTCATATTGATTGAGTACCGGTATTAATTTAAAGCTCTTATCCTCTAGTGGCTCTAGATGTGCCTTTTGCTGGTTTGGATGATAGGCTATCTCATGAAAGCCCTTCGTCTAATAGGCTTTTAAAATTTAATTCTTTTGTCAATCATCTTAACTTTTTCAAGTTTGCGTTTGTTTGTATCAAGATCAAAAACAGACGGCAATTATACAATTTTGTCTACATCCATATATACGAAAATGGTGTTACATGTATCATTCCAGTTGGTGATGTTTTATTGAATTCATGTAAAATATCCTTATATATAATTCTGTAAGACAAAATTTTTACCAGAAAATTGTAGACGTCTGGTAAGTCGCAGAGAGGTGGGAGAGGTCTTAAATTAAAGGTCTTGACCCCAGGGACGCGGGAAAAATAGTAGAATTCCCATAAAGTTACCAGAAAACGAGATATAACGTAAAATATCCACCATAAGAAATGCATCGGGACTGAAAAACGTCTGCATTCTATCAGCTGTTACTTATTTATTTGCGTCATAAACAGTTCCCACACTCCAGACTACTCGCATTTACTATTTCCTTCACCACTTCTTGCGTCGCGGTCCTGTATCCCTCCCTTCCCATGGCATTTTTTGATTGCAGATACCTTAATCTAATCGTCATAAACAGTTCCTACACTCCAGACTGCTCGCATTTACTATTTCCTTCAATACTTCCTGCGTCGCGGACCTGTATCCCTTCCTTCCCATGGCATTTTTTGATTGCAGATATCTTAATCTAATCGTCATAAACAGTTCCTACACTCCAGACTGCTTGCTTTTACTACTTCCTTCATCACTTCCTACGTCACAGACCTGTTTACCTCCCTTCCCATAGCATTTTAGGATTGTAGATACCTT